CTTAGGTGCTTAGGTCGCCCTCGCGAGCGTAGCTACGTGCTGACATTATCATACGAGTGATCCTGAGTACCCACATGATGTGCCTGCCTATCGCGAAGCACGGGATTGCGGCCTCACAACGCTCACGATCCGGTCGAGCCCTCGAATATCACACGCACGCACGTGGGGTGCCGGGACGGCTCCAACATGTCTCCAACATGTACATGTACATGTCCATGTCAGCGTCGCATGCATCCGCCAGCGCTGCGAACTCCTTGTCCATCCGATTTTTGTACGCGTGCATCGCTGACTTGACCTCCTCCGCATCTACATGGTCCAAGAGATCGCCATCAAAAACCCAAGCTACGGAGTGGAAGCCGCGGTCGTCGGGACCACTGCCAAACCTGCCAGAGACAAGGTACTCCAAGCCCAGCCGCGCAACACGCCGCCGACGCCGCGTCGCCAGTGGCTGAACCACCCACGGGATTCATCGCCTCTGGGTAGCGAGTGGTCTGTACGGCTGCGGTCAATGGAGATAGCTCGTCGATCCTGCTCCTTGACCTCCTCCCCCTGGTACGTCTCTCGCGAGTAGCCCGCAAAGTGCTCCCAATTGGGCGGGTTCTCCCCCCCTTGTGCTACTCGCGGGTGATCGGCCACCACAGTGCGCTGCCGCTTCTCGTTGGGTGACAGCGGCAGTGCCCCTCTCATTCTCTCGAGCCGCTGCTGGGCTCGGTTCAACTGCCGCTCAGCTGCGCGCACATGGGCTTCGGCCAGCTGACGGTCCATCAGCAGCGCCATTGTTGCCGCCCCAGAAGCTTTGGCGCGTTGGCCTTGAAGCCAATCGAGCGCCAGCACCATAGTGATAGCACTCGGATCGGGCTGCTCGTCGATCCAGGCGGCCAGTAGTTCCAGCTCCTCGGGAGTTGCTGCCTGCTGTGGGGGCGGCTGCTCTGGCAGAGTCGCCTCGATACCGGCCTCCGTCAGCTGCTCATTAATTTTTCGCCTCCTGCGCGGCGGCGATGAGGTTCGGCCGATCGCCCTTCGGCCCAGTGACGGCGAACCGCTTTTGCTTGCGTTTTCTCTCTGGAATATTCAACGTCACGAGCACGCCAAAGTCGTTGGGCTTCTCCGCCCTGCCGACCGGCTTCTCATTGACGTGAGTATGCGGCATGCTCCGCAGCTCAGCAAGTTACGACAGGAACGCGTCGGTCGCCATCTGATCTTTGGGTGCCACAGCAGGTGCGGGCGACGACGTGCTGGCCATCGCGGTGCCGGCTTAGAAGGCTGCGAGCGCGGAACGCCAAATTTGAGCGTTTCGAGCGGCTGTTCATGGCGCAAGGGGTACGCAAGAAAACTAACTTTTGAGCGTCGAAGTTACTTCGAAAAGTAAGCTGTTACTTCGAGAGAGCTCGCGGAGAGCTTTTACATGGTGTGTTTAACGTTGTGTGGCTCCCAGGGGTTGCCCGTTTACACGGTGGGGGCCCGGGGCTGGCACCCTGACCGTGGACTCAGCCAGGACTCGGTTTGGGGAGGGCGCGAGTGGGAGAACTTTTCGGCGGTCGTGGAGGGTCGTGGAGGTCGTGGTCTGGCGAGTCATGCTCGTGCGGACAGCATCGATGCCGTCGCCGGACGCGGCGGCGAGGCACACGCGACACGGGCGCCGGCGAGCGGCGTGGCGCGTCGGCAGGCCCACCACCGACCACGAACGGATGCGCGACGAGCGCGCTCGGGAAGCGGCCGCGGGCGATGCGGAGCTTCCGCCGGAGGACGACGCGGTCGAGATGGCGAGCGTCGTCCACGTGCTGGACAGCGTGGCGGAGGTGGGCCCGAACTACACCCTGCTGCTGCGCAGCAGCTATGGGACAAAAGCGTCGAAAATGTCCCAAAAAGCGTGTCATCGCGGGTTTTGCAGCTCCGCAGCCTGCGCGCGCTGCCGGGACGCACCGCTTGCTGGATCTGTGCACTCCCTGGGACCCAGGGAGTGCACAGATCCAACAGGAGTGAGTAGACTCGACGCCGTACATGTACTCGAGATGGAGCTGCAGAAAGTACGCCGCCGAGCGTGCCACGAGCGTGCCACCGAAGGCGTCCCGGCGGCGGTGATGGAGTGTGAGACCTGAGGCTGCGGAGGTGACGCCTGAGGTACCGGCCCGTGCACAGCCAGCGACCGCCACGGGCTCAGACGAGACTTGTCGACTCGTTCCGGCTCAGCTTCACCGTGGTCATCGGGCGTCTGTCGACGTCAGGACCACCCATACAGCTCGCGGGTTTGAGGTCGCAAGAGCCAAGATGGTGGCGTTTGGACATCCCAACCATCACACAAGACAGCCTGTAGGTGGTGGCGGGACGGCGCAGTGTTTGTGGCACTCGGCAGTAGGCACCCGCGGCACGGCCCCGCTGAGCGCTGTCGGCTCTCGCAGGCTGCGGAACCGGCCCCAGAGGGGGACGGTCCGGGCGAGTGTGGCAGCTCCTGCGCTAGTATGGGCACCCTCTATCATAGCACTACTGATCCTGGTCATTGGAGCTGCCAGGGATAGCGTCAGGAGCCGGTAGGAGTCAAAACCCCTCTCATATTTGAGAGAGACATCGTGTCCCCTGTGTCCCATATTGCATAAATACTCTCGCACAACGAGCCTCAGCCTCACAGCTCACGCACCCACAAGGATCAAGGTCAACCCGACCCCCGGCGCCGGTGTCCGGTGTGCGGTGAGCGGTACTGTACGTCGGTGTACGTGGAACGTGCCCCTGTCCTCGAGACTCCGACGCGCGTGTCCCCGAGCGAACGACTCTGGGCAGTGATCTCCTCCGGACTGACACTACTTCTCTCCCGCTCGCCTCGGCGCGGCACGGAGGCCGCCATCGTCGTCGTGCGGGCTCGCCGAGCCGATGGACGATGCGGCTGTGGAGGGCGGCAGCGGTGCGGCGGCGGCGGCGGTGAGTGTGGCGGTGGCCGCGTCGAGCGATACCGCGGACGAGGCGCGCGAGGCGTCTCTCGAGGCGTCTCTCTGCGTCCCTCTCGCTCCTCGCCTCGCCTCCTCCTCCCTCCCATCCCCCCCCCTGGCAGCCTCCCCCCTCCCGGCCCCAGGCCCTCCTCCGGCCCCAGGCCCTCCTCCGGCCCCAGGCCCTCCTCCGGCCCCAGACCCTCCTCCGGACAGAGACCCTCCTCCCCCGAGCAACTGCTCGTGGACGGACCGGTTGAGCGCCGCGATCTCCTCCTCAGCGGCGGCGTCGTCTGCGGCCGCTCCGCGCACCGCTGCGAGGCGGGGCGCCGCCTTCGCCCCGAGGGAGGAGCAGGCGGCCGGCCAGGTGGGGCGGGAGCCTGGGGCGGACGTGATTGCGTGCAAGGAGGCGGCCGGTTTCCTCTGGCGAGAGGGCGCCGGCGTGGCGATGAGGGGCGAGGAGGGAGGGCGGCCGGGCGAGCGGGCGAAGAGGCGGGTGACGAGGCGGTGCACTCCGCTGCCCTGCCGCCCGCCCTGCGCCGCCTCGTGTGCGCCTCCTCTCTCGCCCTCCTCCTCGTCCTGCAGCCGCGCCCGCCCCCCTCCGCCAAAGAGCGCCCAGCCGGCAGGCGAGGGCCAGGCGGCGGAGAAGGGGGTGCGGCTGCCCGCGCCGGTCGGCCTGTCGCTCGTCCCCCTCTCCCCGCCTACAGCCGATGCTGCGGCACGCCTCTCACTCAACGAGGCGGGTGCAAGGCGAGGCCGCTCGTCCTCTTCTCTCCGCGCCGGAGGAGAGGGTCCTTGAGAGGGTCCTTGAGAGGGTGCCCAGCGGCGAGGCACGGCTCGGGCGACGCGGGCGGCGGTGCATCAGGAGGATGAAGGCGGCGAGGGGGAGGATGCGGGGGAGGAGGTCGGCGAGCAGGAACCTATGGGAAGGTTCCGAGACGGTTCGTGTGGGAGTTCGTGGAGAGTGCGGAGGGGAGGAGGTAAATGTATAGGAGCCACTGCGGCGTGAAGAGCTCGAGCGGGTCGTCCCCCGGGGAAGCGCCGCCGATGAGGTCGTGCAGCTCGAGCTGCTTGACGAGGAGCATCCCGATCCGGAGCAGGAAGCAGCACGCGCAGACGAGCATCGCGCGCCTGAGCTGCGAGAGAGTGCGAGCGAGCCGCGCCGCCGCCTCGGACTCTGGAGAGTGCAGCCGGGCGAGCTGCTGGTACGCGCCGATCCGCTGGATGCAGTAGAGGGCGGCGAGGGAGTAGGCGGTGCTGAGCGCTCCTTCGAGCACGCAGTAGGCTACGAAGGCCTCCGAGTGCTCGAAGTAGTGGAGGAGCGTCTCGCCCGCGCGCTCGAGGAGGAGTATGTTTGCAAGGGCGAGGAGGGCGAAGGCGAGGTTGGCGCACACGAGCACCTCGCGGCGGAGGAGCCGGATGGAGCGGCCCGAGAAGAGGTGGTTGAAGGCGGAGAGGATGAGCGTGAAGGAGCCGAGGAAGAAGACGCCCGATGCGACGTGGCACGAGTAAACGCCCTTCTGGACGCGGGACGAGTCGGAGGAGCCGTAGGCGCGGCCGGTGGCGAGGAGGATGTACCGCGGCAGCTCCAGGAAGGCGCAGAGCCACGTCGAGGCGAAGAAGGCGACGCGCACTGGCGAGACGTCGCCGCGCCGGCCGCCGAGCGCATGCACCACCGCCGAGACGAGCGCGTGGGTGCACCAGATTAGCACGCCTCCGAAGAGGAGGCAGCCGACCCGGCCGGCCTCGTCGGCGGTGTGGCGGGTGTTTGCGTCGGTCGTCAAGATTCTCATCGAGTCGGCCCGTGCCGCACACGGCACCAGCGAGCAATGTGGACTGTAAATAAAGGTTTTCCACGGCGAGCATCGATACAGACGCCCTTCCCACTCTCGAGGTTCTCGAGGGGCATCTCCTTTGGCCGCGTTGGGTAGCGAGGATTGGTGTGACGCGATCCACGCAGGCGTGATTTCTGACGGCCGACCGTCAGTGCACGGAGTTGCCCCTTCTCCGACTGCCCCGGCTAGTTCCCGAGGTCGCGCGGGGCTGACCCCTGCGTCCCCCGAGACCTAGCGCGGGTGGGTTGGAGGGCTCGCTGCAAGAAAGGGCTGTGTAAGAAGCCGATGCCCCGTAGTCCGCCCCACTCCTCCCCATCGGGCCGCATGAGCGGCCACGCCTCGCAGATTCGTTTCTCGCGCCTACTTCATCGCATCCTCCCGGCCCAGCGTGGGGGGTTCTGCGAGGTCGACCTTGTACCCCTCGTTGTACTGCCGGGTGAGCTCTGGTTTCTCCTTGTCACCGTGCACGACCGGCGCGTTGGCCGGGGCGCGCATCGCGTCCGCCCAGGCGGCGAGGACGCCGTCGTGGGGCCGCCGGTGGTGGGCCTTGTTGTAAAGGTTGTCGCTGAAGAAATCGACTGGCATGCCCCGCTCGAGCGCGACCCGTGATGCCGGCAATGTACTTGGTCTTTGCGCAGGCAATCTCTAACAGATAGAGAGAGAGTACACAGTGATATTTTTGATTTTTATCCAGAGTGAATCTTGCCAAAATGGCAATCGGCCGACCCGGCCGCCTTGCGCGCTCCTGCTGTCCACACTCTATCTCTACGTATTAGGCAGGTTCTACAAATGAAACGTCAAAAGAAGGGGTCGGCTCGCTTTCTACTATACAGAAACACATTGCCAGGCCAACCCTGCGCGTGTGCATCCTGGCGGGATGGTCACTTGATCACAGAGGAGAGATACGGGGACGCGGCGGGGAGAGACCTGGGGAGATAGCAGATACGGGGAGGTGTCGTGAAAAAACTGGTCCAAGCTGGGGCTCGTGGTGGTGGTGGGGGGTGGGGGGGGTGGGGGGGGCAGAGTTTTGGCAGTTGCAGTCTGCCGACGGGCTAGTTCCAATTCACTCTGACACGCTAATCTTGAAAACGCGTCCAACGGAGCTCCGTGTTGCTCCCAGCGGAATCCCCCGCGCTTCCTGCGGCCATGGCCGATGATACTAGTATGAGAGGTCATCTGGCTACCGCGAGCGCGACTCAACTCGCCGACGTCGTCCGATGATTGTGCCTCAAAGTCAGCCTCCGGAGGCTATCGTGGGGTCGAGCCGGCGGTAGCCGTGACATGTGGTTCCACCGCCCCTCGCAGGCTTTGCCTCTGACCGCCACCGTTCCCAGGCTGCCTAATGGGATGGAAAGGAAGGCTGGGCGAGCGTATAGAAGCGTGCTCGACCTCGTCGTGGCAACCTGCACGGCAGCGCTGGTAGGCGCGATGAGCGTCGTGCCACCTGACCCAAGACGGGTCGCAGGCGTCGTACCGAGCGTGTCGAGACCGTGTCCTGATGTGATCTGCACGGGTGAGTCACGTCGGCGTCAAAGGAGCGACGTGCGACCTGTCAGAGCTTGATCTCCGATCTCAGCGGCGTCGAGTCGTCTCCGGCGCGCGACAAAGGTACATACCCAGAGGACGCGCAGAGGCAGCTGCGACCCAGCCGAGTGGACGGTAACACACCGCGCCACCTGCTGTGTGTTACCGTCCACTCGGCGGGGTCGCAGCTGCCTCTGGAAGGCACCGATATGTACCTTTTTGCGCAAATGGTCAAATCAAGGTTTTGCAACGCGAGCTGTGCCACACAGTGAAATGGAACTAGAGGCCACGCACGCACACACGTAGGGATCCCTATACGTTTGTGTTTGGGAATTTGTACGGGTACATCGAATCACCCCCTGACGACCCTCACCCTATCACCCATCACCCCTCTCGCTCTCGCCCTCTTACACACGAAAATAGCGTCGTCCAGCACGAATGGGCGATTCGCGAGATCGCAGTACGACAGCCCATCAGCCGCTCTTCTGCATGCGCTTGCGCTCGCGCCGCTCGAATTGGTGCACGATGGACGAGAAGCATACGACGAGCAGCAGTGAGACGAGCGCAGGGAAGAGCACGTAGACACCGACGCGCACGAGGCCGATGTGCATGGACTGCTTGTGGCACACGGCGCCCGAGAGCGCATAGTCGCCACAGTCGGGATAGAGCACCGCCAGCCCCTCCAGGTCGTCGTCCGTGAGGCACGAGAGCGGGTTATGCTGCGTGCGGGCCTAACGCGGCACGCACCAATGGACGCATAATGGACGCGTCCCGTCCCTTTCCGGCGGCGCCAGCGCGACCTCCATTTGCGCGTTCCGGACGGGGTACGAGTACGCCAGCCGTCCGTCGGCAAAGTCGTAAACGTCCACGATCTTTTCGACCTCGGCGCCCGGCGGAACACCCGGCCGGACACCAGCCCAGGGGTTGGTGCAGTTGAACTCGCCCCGGGTCGGTCGGCGGCCTGAGGAAAGAGAGGGGTCAGGGACACCTCTGCACGCACGCTGAGTGGTGGGCCGTGTCCCTCGCATCATTTCTAAGGGCGGCTGGGGGGGGGGGGGGGGGCGGTGGACGAGAGCTGTAGCTGCGCGAGCTGGACTCACTGGTGCGAGAGAGAAGCGGTCGAACAGTGTGCGCGTAGAGGCGAAGTTCAGTGTGCTCGGCGTCATGGCACGAATCATGTACACTGTGCTGTCGTGCTACTCTGGTCATGCGGGCTTGTGCCGGTTTCCAGCGCGTGTGCGTGAGATGTTGCGTGTGTGCTGCGTGGCCTGCGAGGACGGCAGCGCCGATGCCGGCGTGGAACGAGTTGTTTCCCGGCAGCGGCCCGGCGATGGGGACGTCGGGGAACGCCTGTGCGGGACGTGTCACGGACGCGTCACGGACGCGTTCTGCTGTGCCGTGGCCGCTCGCTCGGCGGGACGCTGCACCCAATTGTCGGGGATGTTGTCGGGGTGGCCGAGGCCGAGAAAGTGGCCGATCTCGTGCAGCGCCGCCGCCTAGGTGCGGGCAGGGACCGCCGGCATTCAAGTGCGCGCTAGATGAGCGCAAGCCGGGCGCGGTGCCGTGGCGCCTCGAAGTCGAAGCAGTCGAAGCATGGCGAGAAGATGAGCGTGTTGAGCAGCGGCGGGACGATCAAGAGCGTGAGGAACGTGCTGAGCACGCAAGGGTTCCAGTGCGAGACGGCGCGGACGCCCGCAGTCACGCGCTCCCGACAAGAAAACTCGTCGTCGCCGTCCTCGTCCACCTTCCGTTTCCTCGCGCCCAAGGATCGGTACGCGATGCGGCAAAAGAAGACCAGGTAGAAGACGAGGCCGAGCGTCATCAGCCCGTACGTCAAAAAGTCGACCAGTATGCGCGCGCTTTGCGCGCCGCCGAGCGACTCCTAAGTAGGCGCGTGGCAGAGGTGCGGACGTCAAGGTGGGGACTGGGGCATGGGCGAGGCAGGGAGGAGGAAGGGTGGCCATCTCTGGGCCATCTCCACATCGCTCTGTGAGACAGGCAGGAGAGCCCCGGCGCAGTCATGACGATCCATGTTGGCGAAGCAAGTCACAGAGCTCACCACAAAATCACAGTGAGAGGAAGGTTTGGCTTGACCGGGCCCCGCAATAGGTGGGCGGCCCCGCAACGGTCGGCACGTCGACCCCGAGGCACGAGGGTCGTCGGTTGAGCTAGGGAGCCTGGCGATGGACGCCAATGCGAGCCCCCTCTCGTGGCACATCTCGCCGTCAGTCCTCGACAGGTTCAGAGCAAAGTGCGGGCGGGCGGGCGGGCCTTGAGGGCGTGGAACTGCGAGCAGAAGGCTGAGTCCATGTACCAGCAGACGTCCTCGGTGTTGAACGTCAACTCGCCCGCGTAGGTCTCGACGACCTCGTTGTGGAAGGGGCGCGCGCCGTTTGTGTAGCGGAAGGTGGAGGAGCGCCGGATAAATGGCTGCAAGCGACAAGGTGAGGTCAATCAATCTATCTCTCTCGCGCGCGCTCTCTCGCTCTCTCTCTAGCTCTCTCTCTCTCTCTCTCTCTCTCTCTCTCTCTCTCTCTCTCTCTCGCTCGCTCGCTCGCTCGCTCGCTCGCTCGCTCGCTCGCTCGCTCGCTCGCTCGCTCGCTCTCTCGCTCGCTCGCTCGCTCGCTCTCTCTCTCTCTCTCTCTCTCTCTCTCCTCTCTCGCTCTCTCTTTCTCTCTCTCTGTTTGTCTGTCGGTCTCTATCAGACAGGCCTTCGCGGTGGCGACGGGGTTCTTACCCGAGCCGGACTGCGCGTTGACGTGGTTCCTGGCGTTGTCGCCCAACTTCTCAGCTGCCACATCGAGCGTCTCATCTGACTCCGTCAGCTGGCGTCCGCTCGAGCCGATTGCCAGCAGCGTGACCCAGATCTCGGCAAATGGACAGCCGCCGTGGGGTTGTCCCAGCTGCTTGGCGCTTTTGGGCGGGCCGAAGTTTAGGCCGGCGAGCTCACACTCGCGCGTGACGTCGAGGAACTTGATGTGCCTGTTGTTCGCTGCCCACGTGTCAAACGCATGTGCGATAGCGGCACGGTAGTCGTCGCAATCAAGAAAATCTTGGCCCAGGATGCCCTCGCGAAAACGCGGCTTCAGGAGTTCGCAAAGCTCCGGGTTCCACGCCCAAGTGATTCCTCCTCCGAGTCCGGTGCTGTCGTCAACTGCTTCAGGCATCGTCCAAAGGAACCCAAGCTGCGCCACCACGTCGCGGTTGGATTTGAGGCCGTTCATCTGGTCCTGAATCTCGCTGATCTGCGCGCCGTAAATGGACTGCGACTGTGAGATCCAGCCGTGAGCGCTGCCGACTAAAAGAAGCATACGGAGCGGCGGCAGGGCTGGGGAAGCAGAAGGACAGCCGGCGACGCCCAGGTTGTTCAAGTGAAAGCAGGCGGCTGCAGACGCAGGGGCTCGGAACCTTCCAGTGCAGACGGTCGACCTTGTACCCCTCGTGTACTGCCGGGTGAGCTCTGGTTTCTCCTTGTCACCGTGTGTGACCGGCGTTGGCCGGGGCGCGCATCGCGTCCGCCCAAGCCTTCCGCGATTCGATCCCGCAGCCAAAAGCTGCTCGCGGCCGACTCCGCCATCGCGGCCGCAGCTGTTGAGCTCTCCAGAAGACTGGTGCCTCATATGCTGCCTCCCTGCGGATGCTGCCGGCGAGCCTGGCGGTCCGCTGTACTACAAGGAAGTGCTGACTCGATTCTACCTCGAATTCTTCTACCCCCACGACTCGGAACGCGAATGTGACAGGACCATCGGGTCCTTCAGCCACCAAAGTGAGATCACCCGAGAGCAGCTGAGTCTGCCTCTGGCCTCGCCTCCCTCTCCTTCAGGCATTCGTGGCATCCTATGGGTCGTCCAGAGTATCGACCTCTGGCTTGTCAGCCGGTCACTTGAGAGAGAGATTTTTAGAAGCCAACAAGAAATGTGTCACACAGAGTGATTTGCGCTCGGCAGCTTGTCGACTACCAGCCGGAGCCGTCTTCTTCTTCACTTGATGACGACCATGAAGTACAGCGATCGCCACCTCGCTGGCCTCTCCGCAAGGAAGGCCTCCCGACCGCGTCGAACTCACGGCGCGGGCTCTCTCGGCTACGGGACCGGCCCCAGCTTCGGCTGACTGAGCTCTGAGGGCTGACAAGCTGCCGAGCCCAAATCACTTAAAGTCGTGATTTCTTGTTGGTTTTCTAAAATCTCTCTCTCTCAAACTCTGAACAAATGACGTGTGAGTGTTAGAGTTGTTTGCTATTGCTAAAAAAAGAGGTCAAACAAACTCTGAGGTCTCGGTTTACGATTTTTTCGCGCGCCCTGCTTTGTTTTGGTTTTTCAGCGGCCAGAGCGCTGCGCGTGCATAGTTAGAGGTTAGGTTAGAGCTTTGGAGCACTTGGAGTGCAGTTATCAGCCGCACGCCTAGGACCGGGGAGGTAGTTCCAAGAAGCGCATTCGTTTCTTGCAGTGTGTTCCGCGTCGGAATTCCCGAGCGATTGCAACCTTCCTGTTCCGCTTCAAACCATGCGGCGTTCCCTCGGCGTCCTCGCCGAGGCGTACTCCAAGTGGGAGCGTCGCGCTCCGCTGACTCCCTCCCACGTCTCGCGGCTCGTCAACTCGGGCGTCGAGGTGCTCGTGCAGCCGTCGTCGAAGCGCGTTTTCACCGATCGCGAGTTTGCGGCGGCAGGCGCGACCATCACGCGTGACCTTTCGGGCGCCAACACCATCATGGGCGTCAAGCAGCCGCTCAACGGCTCGCTCCTCCCCGGGAAGAACTACCTCTTCTTCAGCCACGTCATCAAGGCCCAGCCCGAGAACATGCCGCTTCTTGACGAGGTCCTCGAGAAGAAGGTGCGGCTCATCGACTACGAGTGCATCCGCGAGGGCGGAGGCGGGACGACGCCTCGGCTGGTTGCCTTTGGCGAGTTCGCCGGCATGTCGGGCATGGTCAACGGCCTGCGCGGGCTCGGCCTCCGCCTCCTCTCGCTTGGCCACTCGACTCCGTTTCTCTCCATCGGCCCGACGCACGCGTACACAGACTACTCCACGGACGCGCGGCGGGCGCTGCGCGCGGCGGGCGAGCAGGTAGCTCGCGCCGGCCTGCCCGCGGAGTACTCCCCGCTCGTCGTCTGCGTCGCCGGCACAGGCAACGTCTCTCGCGGGGCACTCGACGCGCTCGACTCGCTCGGCGAGGTCGTGGAGAGGGTGGCTCCGTCGGAGCTGGCCCGCCTCTCGGCGCTGGCGGGGACGGCCGGCGAGCACCAGCACAAGGTGTACGTCTGCGTCACTGGCGCGCAGGACTTCGTCCGCCCCGCCCGGCCCGGCGCCGCCTTCGACCGCGCCGAGTATTACGCGAGCCCGACCTGCGTGCGGGCCGGCTCCCTCGGGCGGCGTGCAGTGTCGCGGAGCTGCCCCGTAGGCAAACCCCGAGGAGTACGTGCCGTGCTTCCACGAGACCATCGCGCCGCACGTCAGCCTGCTCGTGCCGACCATGTACTGGGACCGCCGCTTCCCGCGCCTCCTCTCGACGGACCAGCTGCAGAGCCTGCGCGCCTCAGGCAACAAGCGCCTGCTTGCGGTCGCGGATCTCACCTGCGACGTCGACGGCGCCGTCGAGCCGCTCGTCCGCTCGACCACCATCGACGAGCCCTTCTTCGTCTACGACCCCGCCACCCGCACGGAGCAGGCCGACCTGGACGGGCCCGGCGTGCTGATGCTCGGCGATGTCTAGCCGAGAGGCCGCCGAGGGGCCGCCGAGAGGCCGCTTAGATAGCTTGCGGGCTGATACTCGGCGTCGATCTCCTGCCCTAGCTGCCGCGCAAGGCCACGTCCGCAGCACGTCCGACGCGTCCACGACACGTCCGCCGCACGTCCCTCAGGCGTCGACATCCTGCCCGCCGAGCTGCCGCGCGAGGCTAGCGCCCACTTTGCACAGGCGCGCTCCCCCCCGTCCCTCGACGCGGCCGCCACACAGCGAGGGGCACACAGCGAGGCGTCTGTTTCACACCACACCGCGTGGGCAGGCGCTGCTCCCCTTCCTCGACGCGCTCGCCACCCCGGGCGCTCCGACCTCCGCCGACCTCCGCCACTCAGCCGACCTCCGCCACCTCACACGTGCTGCTTGTGAAAAGGCGCTCCGCTCTCCGCCGAGCTCTCCGCCGCGACCATCGCCGAGGCCGGCGCGCTCGCACCGGCGTACGGGTACATTGGCGCGCTGCGCGAGGCGCGCGAGCGCGACGAGGAGTCGCAGCGGGCCCTCTCTGGTCGCGACGCGGCCCTCCGGCATCACTTGTCTGAGGCGGAGGCGCGCGCGGTCGCCGGCTCGACCGTGCTGCGGCTGAACGGCAGCCCTCTTCGGCTCGGGCCCGGCGCAGCTCCTCGAGGCCACTGATCGGCGGTGTTGCGTTGAGCTAGGCCACCTCTTCGACTCGGGGCTCATCAACGCGGCGCTCGACGTCGTCGAGGCGGCCCAGCTCACCAGCCCAGCTCACCAGCCCAGCTCACCAGCCCAGCTCACCAGCCCAGCTCACCAGCCCAGCTCACCAGCCCAGCTCACCAGCCCAGCTCACCAGCCCAGCTCACCAGCCCAGCTCACCAGCCCAGCTCACCAGCCCAGCTCACCAGCCCAGCTCACCAGCCCAGCTCACCAGCCCAGCTCACCAGCCCAGCTCACCAGCCCAGCTCACCAGCCCAGCTCACCAGCCCAGCTCACCAGCCCAGCTCACCAGCCCAGCTCACCAGCCCGGCTCACCAGCCCGGCTCACCAGCCCGGCTCACCAGCCCGGCTCACCAGCCCGGCTCACCAGCCCGGCTCACCAGCCCGGCTCACCAGCCCGGCTCACCAGCCCGGCTCACCAGCCCGGCTCACCAGCCCGGCTCACCAGCCCGGCTCACCAGCCCAGCTCACCAGCCCAGCTCACCAGCCCAGCTCACCACACCAGCCCAGCTCACCAGCCCACCTCACCAGCCCACCTCACCAGCCCAGCTCACCAGCCCAGCTCACCAGCCCAGCTCACCAGCCCAGCTCACCAGCCCAGCTCACCAGCCCAGCTCACCAGCCCAGCTCACAAAGAGCAGGCGGCGCCCTCTGAACCCGGTCGGAGGCTTACCCCGAGCCTCCCCTTAGGCGGCGGGCGGCCGCTTCGACCTGCTCGAGGTGACCGTCCGGCCGAACGAGTCCACCGGCCGCGAGCCCGCCTCGAGCCTCCGCCAAAAGTCGTCTGCGCTGATGCAGCTCACGCTCGACGCCGGCCGCGCGCCGCTCGACGCGGTCCTCTCGCAGCTGCAGGCGCTGGCGGCGCGGATGCCACTCGCCGAAGCGTCCGTCGTCGAGCTGCCCGAGCATTGCGGCGGCGTGTACGACCGCACCATCCCCGGATCGGCGGGCGGTGGCGCCGCCGCCCTCGCCGCCTCGGCGGCTGCGGCGCCGGCGCCGGGCGGCAGTCGGATTGTCGTGTTGGGCGCCGGGCTGTGCGCGCTGCCGGCGATCGAGCTGCTCTCGCGCCGCTCGGCGGACGTCGTCACGGTCATCAGCGCGGTGGAGGGAGAGGCGTCCCGCGCGTGCGCTGCCCTGGGGCGCCCAAACCTTCAGCCGCTCACCGTCGACGCTCGGCCGACCAACGCTTCGGGGTGGGGGGCGCTGTGCGGTCTGCTGGGCCAGGCGGACGCGTGTCTCTCTCTGCTGCCGGCCACGATGCACGCTCCGGTGGCGGAGGCGTGCATCGAGGGCGGCACTCCCCTTGTGACGGCGAGATATAGCCGAGATATAGCCGAGATATATCTCGGCACTCCCCTCGTGACGGCGAGAGCTCGCCGAGGGGACGCCCACGGCTCTCGGCCTCGGCACGCGCGGCTCTGCCCTCACAGGCGAGCTACGTCTCCGAGGAGCTGCTCGCGCTGCACGAGCGCGCCGTCGCGGCGGGCGTGCCCCTCCTGGGCGAGATGGGGCTCGACCCGGGCGCGAGATTACCCGAGATTACCCGAGATTACCCGAGATGGGGCTCGACCCGGGCGCGGGCCCCACGTCGGCCGTCGAGCGCCGTCCGGCGGCCTCTAACTGATCAGCTGCTAGCAGGCTTGGACCACATGTCGGCGGCCGAGCTCATCCGGCGCGTGCGCGAGGAGGGGGGCGCCGTCACCGCCTTCTCTTCCCTGTGCGGCGGCCTCCCCGCGCCCGAGTGCGCCTCCTCCACCCCGCTCGCGTACAAGTTCTCCTGGTCGCCGGCCGGCGTCATCTCGGCGACGCGCAACCCGGCGCAGTTCACCGTGGACGGGGCGGTCGTGCGTGTCGCCGGCGAGGAGCTGCTTCGCTCCGCGACGCCGCTCGCGGACAGCTCGCGCCTCGGCCGCACGCTGCGCCTCGAGGTGGCGCCCGCACCCGTCCGTGCTCACCCACCCCGCTCTCTGCCACACACAAACGCTTGCCTCTCCGCTCCCGCCTCCACGCCGCTCCTCCTCCGCTCCTCCTCCCCAGTGCTGCCCAGACTTACTCCCCCATCTCTCCCCCGTATCTCCCCCGTATCTCCCAGGTGCTGCCCAACCGCGACTCGCTCCCGTACGCGGAGCTGTACGGCATCGAGGCGGAGGCGCACTCCGTCTTCCGCGGCACGCTCCGCTACGCAGGCTGGTCGGGCCTCTTCGCCGAGTTTGCCGATCTCGGCCTGACGGAGCCGGCGCCGCTGCCGGCCGGCGTGCGCACGTGGCCTGAGCTGCTCGCGTCGCGCGGCGTCACCCCTACCGCGGCTCCGGCAGCCAGCGCCCGCGTCATCGACGCGCTCGCCTCGCTCGGCGCGTGCGCGAGAGGCTCAGCCCCTGCGATTGTGAGGCAGCCACACCATCGCTGCTGCTCCACCTGCAGGCGTGTGGGACGGGTCTGCGCCCGAGATCAGCACCGACGCCACCGTCGCCGACGCCTTCAGCGCGCTGCTCGCTGGCCGCCTGAGCTACGCGCCCGGCGAGAGAGACGCCGTCTTCATGGAGCACCGACTGCACGTCGCCTTTCCAGACGGCCGCCCGTCCGAGGTGCCTTCTCCTTCCAATCGCCACCCTCCACCACCACCAACTACGTGCGCGCGCGAGGCGGGACACACGACTGGAGCTTCGCCCCCGCGCGCACGCCCTCCCATCAGGTGCGCTCGTCGTCGCTGGTGAGCTACGGGACGCCCGACGGAGTCTCGAGCATGTCGCGGTCGGTCGGCATCACCGCGGCGCTCGGCGTGCAGCGCCTGCTAGAGCAGGGCTCCGCCTCGTCAGGCCCGGACGCCGAGCCGCTCGCGGGCGTGCTGCGGCCCACGCTCCCTACCATCTACGAGTACTGCTTGCCGCGGCTCGCCGAGGAGGGGTTCGCTTTCGAGGAAGGCATCGAGCGCGAGGCGTCGGCGCCCTCGACCGCGGCGACGCCCATGCCCGCAGGGCGCGGCACGCCAGGCTTCCGCGCAGCGTCCGCCGCGGCCTGATCAGCAACAGCCATTGCGTTCTGTCGCTTTCCAAGATGGCAGCAAGATGACGTCCACAAACGATGATGATCATGTGGCATTGTCTCATTCATGGATCTCCCTCAGCCCCTCTCTGTTACCCATCAATCCGGCCCATGATCGTTGCACCGCACCTTAGCTCCGCTCATCACTCTTGTCCCGATGAGGGGGGGTGTCGGCTGTCGCGTGTCGAGGCCCTCCCAACAAATTCGCATGGTTGCTCATGCCAGCTCACACGTGTCTGCTGTCTGGTGTCACCGCGACGGCGCTGCCCATGGGCGCTGCGACCTCTCTGGTACACTAACCAGAGGGACGCCGCGCACCCGCGCTCCGCTCTGCGCTCTGGCTCTGAGACTGAGATATCTGGGAGGGTCGCGTGAACAACATGGCAAAATCCCAAAAAAACAGTACCGATAGAGTATATAATTATAAATTGTGACGACGACCGAAAACTTGAGATCAAGAGCTCCAAGTATTCGTTAGTTTTTTTCGGGCGGCCTCTAAATCGCCAGGCACAAGCGCGCCGATCCCTCCTTCACGGCCCGCAGCACATCATGGATCACAGAGACACGCGGCCCGGCGGCCTCCGCCGCGCCGCTTACGCGGTAGATGCGGTACTGGACGGGCGGCTCGCGGGAGAGGAAATCCCACTCAAAGTAGGAGAGGTCAAAGACGTTGTGGTCGTAGTAGCGCGACGTCTTGACCTCGACGAACTCGCGCACACCGCTCCCGCCCCGGTCGCAGACCACCAAATCGTACCTACAGCAGAAGGCCGAGCAGCTGAGCGCGCTCGAGACCTCCGATCGGCACCACACACAGCGAGCCGCACGGCGCTCGCGTCTCCGCCTCGTGGTTGAGCCAATCGACGCGGCGCGACGGTGGCAGCGTGGCAAGCAGCAAGTTGTACACCAGCGCCTCGCCCCACCTCCCCACGGCAGCGAGCTCGGCGCGCGTGTCGCCGCCGCTACCGCCTGCGCCGCTGCCACCGCCCGCCCCGCCGCCGCCGCCGCCGCCGCCGCCGCCTGTCGCCCGAAGCGGGGCGAGCGCGACGGTGCCGCGCCACGGCGGCGGCGGCACGGAGGTGCGGCCGGGCAGGTGCGCCCAGGGCAGGACGGAGCGGCCTGGGTGGCGGGGTGGTCGGTTGCGGGAGGAGGGAGGACGCAACCGCGCGGGAGGCGCCGCCACCGCATTGAGCGGGCGAGCACGGACCTACAGGAGAAGGCTCCGAGAAGGCTCCGAGACGGTTCCGAGGTGAGGCATCGGGCCGGTCGAGCACGCGCCTCTACCGAGGTCTGACCGCCGCCTCCTCCTCCTCCTCTCGCCTCCCCCTCTGCTGAGGTCTGACCGCCAGCCAGGTCCCTCCATTCTCCTCCCGCCGCCTCCTCCTCCTCCTCCGCCGCCGCCTCCTCCTCCTCCTCGCTTTCCTCCTCGTCGTCGTCGTCGCTTTCCGCCTCCTCCTCCGCCTCCTCCTCCACCTCTCCCTCCCTCTCCTCGCTTCCCACCGCCTCCTCAGACCTCCCCACCCCAACCCGACCCGCCCTCTCCCCTGCGTCCGCCACTCCCACCCCCACCTCGGACCCTGCCGCCGCCGCCTCGGCACCGCAGCCCGGCTCGGCCACCGCCGCCGACGCCGACTCGATCTCCGACGCGGCTGCCTCGGCGCCGCCTCCTCCCGTGGCGCCTGCCTGGTCGACCTGGTCGTTGGTTTGGCCTTCGGCCGAGCCCGGAGCCGCGAAGCGCCTCGCCCGCCACTTCGTGGCACCAAGGTGGAGCATCAGGTACTCCGTCGCCACCCGCTGCAGAGCGTCGCCGTCGAGCTCGGCGGAGGCGGGCTCGGCGGAGGCGGGCTCGGCGGAGGCGGCCTCACCGCCGCGGCGTCGCCTCTTCGCCGGTCTAGCATCGGGCGTCGCCATCGCTGCCACTGTCGCGCGCAGAGCTGTCCAAGTGGGGCGCGGGTACTCGCCTGCTCCGAGCGAGGGCGGGTGCTCGAGGAGGGTCGTCAGGCCGTGCGATGCCTCTGCCCCCCCAACGCCTCTCGCCCTCCAGGGGGCGGTGGCGCGCCGACCCGAGCTGCAGCCGAGATGCAGCCGAGATGCAGCCGAGATGCAGCCGAGATGCAGCCGAGGTATACGTGTACGAGACGGGAGGGGCGCGCGCCGATCCGAGCTCTGCAGCAGGTCAGCACGTCGCCCACGCGCCCGTCGGACGGGGCGGCGAGCCTGTGGGACACGTCCAGGAAGTGTCACGGACATGTCGCGGATGGCGCCCGCCCGAGGGCGGAGGCGAGCCGCGGCGGGAGCGGAGCCGTCGCCGAGGCTGCAGCTCCGGAGGCACCGCGAGCGGCGGCAGAGAGGGACGAGCCGTGCGGGGGGAGCCTCGCCGGCCCCGCCCCGCCACCGCCGCGGAGTGCAGCCACGCTGGCGGCGTGCCGCTCGAGCGCGAGCTGGGCAGCCACGGCGCGCAGCTCCGCCGAGGCGTGGGCGGCGCTGCGCAGCGCGTGGATCGTGCCGGGCAGCGCTGCTGGCACGAGCCGCACGCCGAGCGAGGCGAGGGAGCGGCCAGAGGCGGCCTCGAGCCGCCCTCGGAGCGCCGCGGCAGAGACGTCGAGCTGCTCGGGGGCGGGAGCGACGAGCTCGAGCTGCTCGGGCCGCGCCGCAGGCCGCTGCAGCTCGGCGAGGAGCGCGACGAGGTGCTGCGCCGCCTATCAGCGACGAGCTACTCGTGAGGAACTTTCTTCCTCCAGAGGAGAGGAGGTGCTGCGCCCGCCTCCGCGTGACTCATCCACCCGCCACCCTCCCCGCCACCCTCCTCGCCGCCACCCTCCCCGCGCCCCGCCGCCGGCCACAGCGCACACACAGCCGGGTGGAGACGCAGCGGTCCGACGCCGAACGCGGAGAAGGAGGCGAGCGGACTCGCGTCCTGCATGCCCGCCTCCGACGCCTCCGACGCCTCCGACGCCTCCGGCTCCTCCTCGATGTCAATCTCCTCCTCTGCAGCTGTGGCGGCCGCGGCGGCGGGTGGCGGCGGCAGCGGAGGCACGAGGCGGCTGCGGAGCGCCGCGACCACCTCGGGCTCGAGATTCGCGATGCAGGCGATGCCGTGCGTGGCAGCAAATGCAGAGGCGTAGCTCCCCACGAGCCGCTCGATCTCCCAGACTTGGCACAGGCTGGGCACGGCGGCCGTCGAGAGGCCGACTGCCTCGAACGAGGACACGCCGAGCGCCAGGCACGCGTCTCGCGTCACCGCAGCAGCACTGGCGTATCTGCCACGCGTGGCGATGGCGGCTGCAGCACGCAGGCACTCGCGATCGACAGCTGCCGGCGTCGGCGGCGGGCGAGGGTGTAGCAGCATATCTGACAGTGACAGTGAGTGAGTGGATCGCGAACGGTTTGTCTCGCTGCCGTGGCTCTGCCAAGCACGGCGTTTCTCGTTTTAGCCGCAGCGTTTTCTTTTCTGGCTCTGCTTCCGTCTCGCGTACTGGTAGCGGTTTTGCGCTGCCGCGCGCGCTCGCACGCGCGAATTTTCGCCGCGTTTTGCAGCAGATCTCCAAGGCGGCGGTGGCGGGCGACGCCGACAACATCAACAAGCAGGCGCGCAAGGAGCGTACCGACTGGATCAACAAGCAAAAGAACAAGGAAGTGACGCTTCTTGTCCTCGGCCCCAGTGGGGGGTGCCAGCGCCGCCTAGCTCTGCAGACGGGCCCCTCCACCCTTCCTGTAATCATGTAGTCCCCACATTCGCAATCGTAAAAAGAAAGAAAGAAAACAGACAACCCAAGGGAGGGATGGGAGGACGGCATTCGCAATCGTGGGATCCCTTGGACGCTGGCGCGATTTCTTTTTGGTTGTTTGCCACCCTTACGTCGGCGACATCGGAGTGATCGGAGACAGCAAGGTACCTGACGGCATGAAGGTGCTCGTCACGGGTGGCGCGGGCTACATCGGATCGCACACGTGCCTTGAGATGCTCAACGCCGGATATGATGTCGTCGTGATGGATAGCCTGTACAACGCGACGGAAGAGGCGCTCAATCGGGTGAGACAGCTGCACGCAGACGAGGTGGCAAAGTCCGACGGAAATTTGAAGACTAAGGAGCTAAAGTTTGTGAAAATCGACCTGCTCGAGCCGGAAAAGCTCGACGCGCTCTTCAAAGGCGCAAAGGACAAGGGCGCAAAGTTTGACGCGGTGATTCACTTCGCTGGGCTCAAGGCTGTCGGCGAGAGCGTGGCGAAGCCGATCTTCTACTACGAGAATAACATTGCAGGCACGCTCAACCTGGTCAAGGCGATGGAGAAGGGCGACTGCAAGAGCATCGTCTTCTCCTCCTCCGCGACTGTGTACGGCGACCCCGCGTCGGTGCCCGTCACCGAGGACTTCCCCACGAGCGCGACCAACCCGTACGGACGCACGAAGCTCTTCATCGAGTGAGACGCCGCACACCGCAGCCGAGCCCGCAGCCGCGCCCGCAGCCTCTCCAGAGAGGATCTGCAGCCGCAGCGCAGAGCGCACGGAGATGCCATCAGAGAGCGCAGAGATGCAGAGCGCACAGATGCCGGCTCGCGGCGAGGACCCCGCGCATGCCCCTCCTCCGAGCCTGGCGCGGGCCTGCACGGCAGGTACATCCTGAAGGACCTCTACGAGTCGGACAAGAGCTGGAACGTGATCCTGCTCCGCTACTTCAACCCGGTCGGCGCCCACAGCTCGGGCAAGATCGGCGCGCCGCCCCCGGGGGCGGGGGGAGTCGGGCGGGGCGCCGCTCCTTGACATCGGAGTGCGAGGTTAGGCGAGTCGCCGAAGGGGATCCCAAACAACCTGATGCCCTACATCCAGCAGGCGAGGGAGAGCCGAGATTCTTTGCGAGCTCTGGCCGAGATGCACACACCGACACCAAGCTCGCTGCGGGCGGGCGGCCGCGCCTGTGACTAGCGTCTCTGCTGACTAGCGTCTCTGCGCACGTGGGGCTGTGGACAGGTCGCGGTCGGGCAGCGGACGCACCTCTCCGTCTACGGCTCGGACTACCCTACCAAGGACGGCACTGGCGTGCGGGACTACATCCACGTGGTACGCCCGGCCGAGGCACCGCCTGGCGGCTGGCGGGGCGTGCGCACGACGTGTCCTGGACACGTCCCGTAGGTCGACCTGGCCAAGGGTCACCTGGCGGCGCTCAAGAAGGTGGCGACCAACCCGGGGAGCGTGGTGTACAACCTTGGCACGGGGACGGGGTACTCGGTGCTGGAGATGCTCGCGGCGTACGAGCTTGCGTGCGGCAAGACGCTCGAGCACGTGCTCGCGGACCGGCGGCCGGGCGACGTGGCGGTCTGCTACGGCAAGCCGAGCAAGGCGGAGGAGGAGATGGGGTGGAAGGCGGAGCTCGGCCTGAAAGACATGTGCGCCGACTCTTGGCGCTGGATCTCAAACAACCCGAACGGCTACGACCCTGCGCCATAGAGGGGCAGGTGCCGGTAGCGCAGGGGAGGAGCGCAAGGAACGGGCGAGCGGCGGGCGGGCAGAGAGCGAGAGGTTGATGCGGGGACTCCACGGGGCGGCCGGCGCAGAAAGCGGGCGGGTGTGCGTCGAGCACCCTGCAGCTGCACGACGGACAGCGCGTGCGTTGAACGGCGTAAATTTTGACACTCTTTTTCGTCCTTGTGCGAGGGTGTGTGGAGATGGCAGATGCACGCAAGAGATCTCGGCAGACCTGCTCGAAAGGTTTTTGGCGGGGATCCGAGGACCGCGCTTGACCTTAAGAGCGAGCCTGCGGTGTGCACGCGCGTGGCTCTCTCTCTCTCCGCTCCGCGGCTCCGCTCTCTGTTCGCGTCGCCGATGACTCAAGGGCTGCCGAAGTGCATCCCGATGAGGCCCGCTTCCGCGAGCCGGCGCAGCTTGCGCATCGTGTCGGGCGCGCGCATCTCCGCCTCGACCTCGAGCGACCTCCCCTCGTGCAGCCGCTGCAGCAGCGCCTGCATGCGCGGCTCCTGCAGGATCGCAACCACCTCGGGGTCGCGCAGCGCCTTGTCCGCCGCCTCGCGCGCCGAGCGCTCCTCAGCCGTCTCTACGGCGGCCGGGCGGATGGCGGCCTCTCGCGCCGCTCCCTCCTCGCCGAGTGCGCTGAAGTGCTCCCCCATCAGCTTGAGGAAGGCCTGCGGGGAGGGGCGGGAGGCTCGACGAACCGCTTGAATCTCGCCGAACCTGCGAATCTTGGCTGGTCTCGGTGCCTGCAAAAAGTCGCGCATCTCCTCCACGTGGCCGTACCGCTCCATCGCCGACTTGGGGTCGGTCTGCAGCGCCTCCATCGCCTCGGCGCACCGCGCGTCCGTGAAGGCCTTGCGCAGCAGCGGGTCGGCAGCTACCTTGGCCAGCAGCTCCGGTGTCACCCACGATGCGCCTGCGACAGCGCCACCCGCCGCAGCCTCCGCCTCCGCCATGCTGCTCTGCACCTCGGGCAGCTGCAGCGTAGACGCGCCGCCGCGGCCATCACCACGCACGACAGGCAATGCTCCGCTGGCAACAGGTCTGCGTGCTGCTTCCGGCGGCGCGCGTCTCAGGTTGGCGGGTCTGACGCACAGTCTGACGGGTTTGGCGCCGCTCATGATGCGCACTTCATACCTCCCGGACTCAGCCAGCCAGCTGCACGCGCTGCCGATGGCACCGTTGAGCTCCGGGCGCGAACTGAGTGAGTGTACCTCGACGAGTGCGCCAGTGAGAGAATCGACGGGTGTCGGCAATAGCTGTGGTGGTGCTGGCGGAGGAGCCGGAGCGGGCAGATGGTCGGATGGGACCTGCAGCAGCGGTGGGACGTCACCTTCGTCTTCGTCGAAGGATCGATCCTCCAACGCCGCCATCGCAAACAGCGAAAAAGAAACGCACGCGGCCTACAGCGAAAAAGACTTCCGGCGGGGCCGGCTCTCAGTTCTTTCCTCTTTCGATCTATCTCGCAGACGCGCCCCGGTTTGTGTTGTCTGTTGTTGTTGTCGCCTCCCACAACGGCGCCGAGTTACAACAAAAGTTCTTTTTGGCCCGCACAACTATTTAAACAGACAATCGCCGACGGGGACGGGGACGTCCGACGTCGGGCTAGAGCTCCAATGGACTCACCCCGCATCGGGACCGTCGGGCCTGAGCTGCTCAAGCTTGAGCTGAGCAGCGGCGGCCGCCTCGGCTTTGCCGGCGCGGTGCTCGGCTGCGACGGCTGCATCTATGGCGTGCCAGCCGACGCGAGGCAAGTGCTGCGCTTTGACCCAGAGACGCAAAACTCGATGCTGATCGGAGCAGACTTGGGTGGGGAGGAGTACAAGTGGTCTGACGGTGTCCTCGGCCGCGACGGCTGCATCTACGGCATTCCGCACGACAGCGCAAGGGTGCTGCGCTTTGACCCGGTGGCAGAGGAGGCGACGCTCGTGGGGCCCTACCTGGGGCAGGGAGGCGGCAAGTGGGACGGCGGAGTGCTCGGGCCCGACGGCTGCGTCTACGGCGTGCCCTTCAACTCTGCGCGTGTGCTTCGCTTCGACCCGTCGACGCAGGAAGTGACTCTCGTCGGCCCGGACCTTGGCGAGGGCGACGAGGCCAACCCGCAGGGGGGCGGCAAGTGGCGGGGCTGCGTGCTCGGCAGGGACAACTGCATATACGGCATCCCGGGCAGCTCATCGCACGTGCTGCGCTTCGACCCTACGACGCGCGAGGCGAGCCTCGTCGGACCCGACCTCGGCGAGGCGGGCGAGCCGGCGGGCGAGGAGGAGGACGACGACGGCGCCTCTTCCTCCTCGCGCTCGTCGTCGTCGTCGTCGTCGTCGTCGTCGCGCGCGGGGTCTGCGGCGCAGGCTCAGTCGACGCACAAGTGGGCGGGCGGCGTCATCGGCCCCGACGGCTGCATTTACGGCCTGCCCTTTGTCGCGGAGCGCCTCCTGCGCTTCGACCCGCTGACGCAGCAGGCGACGCTCGTCGGCGGCGACCTCGGGCAGGGCGGCGGCAAATGGTCGTGCGGCCTCGTCGGCGCAGACGGCTTCATCTACGGCATCCCATACGACGCGGAGCGCGTGCTGCGCTTTGACCCGAAGACGCAGGAGTCGGCGCTGATAGGGCCAGACTATGGGCTGTTTGGCGACAAGTGGTCCTCTGGCGTTGTCGGCACCAACGGGTGCATCTACGGCGTCCCGTACCACGCGGCGCAGGTCTTGCGCATCAGAGGGATCGTCCCGCCACGCAGCAACGGCAACCGGCCCGACACGGCCGTCGCCGTCCCCAACGGCGTCCCCACGTCAAAGGCGGAGCGCGCGCTCGTGGCCGAGGCGCTGTACAAGCAGGCCGTCGAGCTCGGCGTCGAGGGCCTGCTGCTGGTGCGGCTAGCGGCGCACGCCGAGGAGAGGATGTGAGGGCCCCGGTCTCGCCCGGCATGCGATGTCGGACGCTGCGCCATGTATGTACTACGTAGATCCTTCGTAGAGGCGAACTGAGTGAGGGACGCACAGCTGGCACCATCAATCATGTACACACATACTAGCTTTGAGCTATCCCATGAGCCTATCTGGCACGCGATTCCATGGGCTGTGTTCGCGCCGGAGCGTGGCCACTGTTTTACGAGACATCTCGACCACGCGCTCGCTCTAGAGCGGTTCGTATGCCCTCGGAAGAGGCCACCGATGAGCTCGTCGCTCTTTCATCCATCCTCGGTCCTGACCTGTGGGTCGACAGCGAGTCGGCAGGGAGGATCGTGATCGCCGTGACGCCAGAGGTGGTCGACGACAAAGAAGTGGTTGGCGCGATCGCGATGGAAGTCAGCCTTCCTTCTTCGTATCCGTCCAGCGCCGCCCCCATCATAACGTGCTCGAGCCTCGCGCAGCACGCCGACCTCTTTGAGCACCGGTCCGCTCCCAAAGGAGGGTTCTTCGCACCGTCAGCGGAGCAGGCGAAAGCGCTCGCCGCTTCGGTGGCGGCGGCTGTGGATGGCGGCCATGGCGACGTGGTCGTCTTTGACGCCGTGGCGGCAGCGCGCGAGTGGCTCGCGACCAACGCAGCGTCCAAAGCCTCCGACGCCGACGATATCTGCGCGAGACTCGCAGACGCAGAGGTATCGGAGAACGACCTCGAGCTGGACGAGTCTGATATGGACGAGGAGCTCATCGAGGCGTTGTTGGAGGTCCTTCCCGGCGACAAGCGGCTCCAGGCGGCGGCTCGGCTGCCGTCGGGGAGTGCGCGGCAGCGCGAGGCGATCAAGGCCGTCTGGCTCAGCCTCACCCCGCAGCAGCGGCGACAGATGGTGGCCGATAGCGACTCGGACGGTGATTTTGAGGACCTGGACGAGGAGAGCGAGGAGAGCGAGGAGGAGCATGCACCCGTCAAGAGGAGCAGCGGCGGCGGCGGCGGCAAGCGCAAGGCGCCGTCGCTCATGCCGCCGCCCCCCGCGCAGCGCGCCTGCCATCGCGGCCATCGCCTGACGCCAGTCAACAGCAAGCCGCGCGACTACCGCCACCTGGCCGCGGGCGTGGGACACTGCGACCTGTGCGGCATCGACTTTGAGTACACTCGCGGCGGGTACCACTGCGACGCCTGCCGAGACTGGGACTGCTGCGTGGCGTGTGGGAGCCAGGGCGCGTCGCAGGGGAAGGCGGCCAAGGCGAAGAAGAAGGGTCGGCGCTGAGGGCCGTGCGGGTTTTGGGTTTTCGTTATAGCCTGTTATAGCCGGCGTGGGGCGTGGCGCCGAGCCGGCGCGACGACTCAGCAAAGAAAGAAAGACCGAGACATCCCAAGTTACGCCACAGAGTTACGCTCTCGTGCGCCGTGCCCGGTGGGCGGCTGCCGGCTCTCTTGGGCGAGGGTGGAGACCGCTGCGGGGGAGGAGGCGCGCAGTACGCAGACGTCCCCACCTTTGCTGCCCTGATTCTTTTTTGTGTGCCGGCAGTGCGCGTGTGCGCGCCAGTCCCGTGCCAGTGTTGTCACAGAGAGCTCATCCTACAATTCTTAGAATTGGCCACAGGGCTGCAGAAGCCGAGCAGCGTATCTCAGTAGTTTCTTCACAACGCCGTACCTGTGTTGGTTGCCAGTGGCAGTGCGCGCCAGTCCCATTCCTAGTGAGTTAGAGTCGAGTCGTAAAATTCTTTTTTTGAGAGCGCCTTCGTTGTTGATAAGAAACAGGAGGGGTCCCTTGTCACAGTCACACACACACACACACACACACACACACACACACACACACACACACACACACACACACACACACACACACACACACACACACACACACACACACACACACACACACACACACACACACACCGCACCGCCTAGGTGGGAAAGAGATGAGGAGATGGGACAGCGAAGGAGGAGCACAAACACGTATGGGAGGTTAAAGTTGTGCGTCACGCTGCCCGGATGTTAGAGAGAGAGAGATTTTTGATCCTATGGGTTGTCCAGAGTATCGACCTCTGGGCTCTGGCGAGTCAGCCAGCCCCACTTTGAGGGCGCCATGAAGTACAGCGATCGCCACCTCGCTGGCCTCTTCGCAAGCCTCCCGACCGCGTCGAACTCATCGACGCGGGCTCTCTCGGCTACGGGACCAGCCCCAGCTTCGGCTGAGGGCTGACAAGCTGCTGAGCCCAAATCACTGTGAGAGTCGTGATTTCTTGATGTTAGTGCCAGTGCGCGCCAGTCCCGTGCCTCGTCTCGTGAGAGGGAGTGGGCTTTAGAACGTGGTGTCCTGTGTTAGTGCCCCTGCGCGCCAGTCCCGTGCCTCATACCTAGTGGTGTGAGAGGCTATTTTTTAATTCTCTTTGGTCAGGCGCCATCGCGTCTCGTCGCACTGGCGCCTGTGTCTTCTCGCCGCCCCTCTCCCTGCGAGGCACCTGACCACCCCTCGCGGCAAGCTCTCGAGCAGCTCGAGAAGGGAGAAGTTCGCCCGCCGCCACCGCCGCGTCGAACTGCGTCCTCATGCCGAGCGCGCCGCATACCCTGCGGACCGCCATCCTGCTGCACCTCGTCCGGCGTATCGGTTTCATAGCCGGACGAGTCAGCGGAGGCGGCCCACTTGGCGGGCGGAGAGTCGGGCGACGGCGAGCGCGACTGGCGCGAGGGCCCGCTGCCGCGCGCGGACAGCGCGTTCTTGTCAACGAGACGGGGTCCAGCATCGGCACGGCCCCTGGCACCGCGGCCCTTGCCGCGCTGCTGCTGCCCACGCTTCCTGCCCGGGTAGGGACAGAGAAGGAGCAGCTCCGCGCACTTGGAATGAAAATCGGGATGTAAAATTCTTTTTGTGCCACTATCGCGTCTCGTCGACGAGCCTGTCTCCGTTTCCGTTCTTAGCAAATGCTCATCCTCCTCGCGCTCGCCCTCTGCTGCGGCGCCCGGGCGATGGCCGCCACACAGTGGTACATGCCCGACGGACGTGCTGGCGGCTGTCGCTCTGACAGGAGTGTCAATGGTGGCTCCGGCGCATATGAGGAGATATGGCTCACGGATGCGGCCGACTGCCGCGCACGCTGCGCAGCAGAGGCCGTCTGCATCGCCTACGAGTTTGGCTCCCTGGCCAGCAGGTGGCTGCCATCCCCACACAACATCCCCACACAACGCGCCTCTTGGTCTGCATGCCCGCGTCTGTCCCGCGTTCGGTGCCCCGGCGTCTCCGTGCTAAGAGTGACCGGAGCACAACACTCCTACTGCAGGCGGGTGAAGGGGAAGGAGTACAAACGCTGCGAGCTGCACCACTCGGTGGTCTTCAACGTGGCCGCCATACCCGGCTTCGAGTGCTGGGTGAAAGTGCCTCGCGTCCCGCCGCCTCCATCGCCGCCGCCGCCTGCCTCGCCACCCCCGCCGCCGCTACCACCTCCCTTGCCACAATCGCCACCGCCGCCGCCGCCGCCTTCTCCGTCGCTGCCTCCGCCGTCGCCGCCCCCCTCCGCACCTCCGTGGTCGCCGCCACCGCCGCCGCCGCTCCCGCCGCCGCCACCGTCGCCCCCTCCGCCGCCGCCACCCTCGCCGCCGCCACCCTCGCCGCCGCCGCCACCGCCACCCCCGCCCACGCCGCCGCCGCAGCCACCCCAGCCACGAGGGCCACCCTCGCCGCCCACTCCCCCGCCCTCCCCTCCGCCGCTGCACCCTCCCGCGCACCCGCCGCCGTCGCCGCCGCCCCCGACGTCGCCGCCGTCGCCGCCGCCGCCGTCATCGCCGCCGCCGCCGCCGCCCGCGCAGCCGCCGCCCCTCCGCCCACCGCTGCAGCCGCCGCCCTCGCCGCCGCCGCCGCCGCCGCCTCTCCCCCCGCCGCCCTCCTCGCCTCCTCGCCCGCCTCCTCCAAACAGCTGCCTTGATCTCGTCGGAGTGTCGGTGCCGAGCGGCCTTAACTTATCCCTTAACGATGCCTCTGAGGCGCTGAGGCGCGGGCCTCTGAGACCGGGTCTCTCGACAGCACCTCCTCTGTCAACAGGTCGACTTCTTCGAGCGCGGCTGCACCGACCTCCCCTCCGCCAACCTCAAGGGCCAGAACCTCAAGCACGCCAGCCTGCGGACGGCGAGACACAGCCGAGACACAGCCGCCCGCGGCCATCCCGCAACCTCCGCGCAGCGCCCAGCTCGACGCTCTACACTCAAACGTGCTGAGCTGTGTTGTAATCAATGAGAGTCCTTGCTTGGGGCGCACAGGCCAACCTCCGCAACGCTCAGCTCGACTTTGCCGACCTCTCGTTCGCAGACTTGCGCGGGGCAGACCTCTCGGGCGCGAGACACTTCCTAGACACTTCCTAGACACTTCGCAGACTTGCGCGGGGCAGACCTCTCGGGCGCGAGACACTTCCTAGACACTTCCTAGACACTTCCTAGACACTTCGCAGACTTGCGCGGGGCAGACCTCTCGGGCGCGAGACACTTCCTAGACACTTCCTAGACACTTCGCAGACTTGCGCAGGGCAGACCTCTCGGGCGCGAGACACTTCCTAGACACTTCCTAGACACTTCGCAGACTTGCGCGGGGCAGACCTCTCGGGCGCGAGACACTTCCTAGACACTTCCTAGACACTTCGCAGACTTGCGCAGGGCAGACCTCTCGGGCGCGAGACACTTCCTAGACACTTCCTAGACACTTCGCAGACTTGCGCGGGGCAGACCTCTCGGGCGCGAGAGGGAGAGAGTGGGAGAGAGACGCTGAGAGAGAGAGTCAGAGAGGGGGGCGGGGGGGAGGCCACGGAAGGAAGAGGGAGCCCCAGGGACAGCAGGAAGATGGCCGGGGGGGGGGGGGGGGGTAGCCCAGGGACAAAAAGCGAGCCCAGAATGCCCCCAGCGGTGTGCTAACCAAGGTGCAAGGAGGGGGGGTGGGGGAGGGGGAGGGAAAAGAAACCTGCCTTATAGGGGGCGAGCCTCTCTAGGGGGGCCGTGGGCCTCGCCTTTCACCCTTTTTTATTTCAAGATGCCGAGGGGGCCCCCCCCCCCCCCCGTACAGGAGCGTCGCTGCAGTGGGCGCGCCTCTTCGGGGTGAACGAGCCGCCTCCCAGACCCTAGCCCCAGACACCCGAGCCGCGTCTCTCGGGCACGTGAATGCGAATCTGCGTCCGTTGGAATCAACGAGCAGGCGGACTTCTCCGGCGCCGTCCTCTCTCGCGCATCCTTCAAGCACAGCGCCTAGAGAGACCCGCAGCCGAGAGATAGAGCAGAGATAGAGCAGAGCTCACGCGACGCACACACCCGCCACACACCCCCTCTCTGACACCCTGGCTCGCGCCCTCCAGGAGGGCGGACTTGGAGGAGGCGGACCTCACCGGGGCGACTGTCACCGCCACCGACTTCTCGCGCGCAGACATGCGCGCGGCGGCGGTGGCGGGGCTGCGGGCGGGCGAGGGGGCCATCTTCGACCACGCCGACCTCACCGAGACCGAGGCGAACTCTTGTCAGCAGCAGCAGTAGCAGCAGCAGCGGCAGCAGCAGTAGCAGCAGCAGCAGCTAAGCGGCAGTAGCAGCACAGCAGTCCCATCTTTGCACTTTGGAAGTCAGGAATTGCATGTTGCTAGGTCATTGACTGCCAGCTTCCCGGCTCGATGTGGCGCGGCGCGACGCTCTGGCTCTCCGTCTTCAGCCGTGCGCCCGCGCCCCCCCCCTCTCGAGATCTGGCGACAAAAGACAGACGGCGCGACGGTGTTGCTTGCACAGGCGAGTACCCCCCGACCGCGCCGTACCGTAGCAGTAGCAGCACAGCAGCAGTGTAGCCGCAGCAGTAGCCCCCAGCGCAGTAAAGCATCCTCGTCGAGCTGCCTGCACGCAGGCGTCCACCTCGAGCGAGCTCTCTTCGACGCGGACACGAACTGCAACGGCCTCACCCTGCGTGGCTGCTCGCTCGAGCGGGCCACCCTCGCGCACACCTCGCTCGAGCGGCTCACCGTCCAGGGCGGATCGATGGCGGAGGCCCTGAGCACGCCACGCTGCCTCTGACTGGAGGTGTGAGCGGCGGCTCTTTCACAGCTCTGGCCGTGAACAGGCGGACCTGAGCCACGCCACCGTCTCGAGCTGCGCCCTGCGCGGCGCGGTGCTGACGGGCGCGAGCCTAGCCTCCGCCTCGCTCTCCGACACGAACCTCTCCAACGCCGTCCTCGAGGCGCGAGACGCTTCCGAGACACGCAGAGACACTTCCCAGAGACACTTCCAGAGACACCTCCAGAGACACTTCCAGAGACACTGCACAAAAGCTCATCAGACACGGACACCTCTCGCCGACGGACACTTAGGCTAAGTTACACTTAGGGGGCGGACCTGCGGTACGCGTCGCTGCAGCGCGTCGCCCTCGACGGCGCCTCCCTCGTCGGCGCCTCGCTCGAGTTCGCGGACTTGCGCACCGCCACCGGCCTCGCGACCGCAGACCTGACGGGGGCACGCTTGGCCGGCGCCCGCGGGCTCCCTCCCGCGAGCGCCGCCGGGCGATAGCCGATAGCACCGGCTCAGGTTCCAAAGGTCGGGTAAAGAGGCGCGCGAGCCGCGAGAAAGCAGAAAGGGTGGGGCGGGCGCGTCTCTCGCTCTCTGTCGTGTGGTTTATGTTGATACTCGAGCGAGCCCCCCACTTGCACTTCACGCATCACGGGACACGGCAGCGGCCCGCGAGAGACGTGAGACGGAGATCTAGGCGCCCTGGCCGCTGCGCGCTGCCGCTGGGCGCGCCGCTGGCAGTGATGGCCATTTACTGGTATAGCCCCCCAGAACAATCAAACACTCTACGGCCAAAACAATCAAATTGTGGTAAGATTTACCACGACTTCTGAGGCAAAATCTGACAAAAATCGGAGAAATCGGCAAAATGCCCGGTATTTGCCAGGTATACCCGGGTTTTCCCAGGTATACCCGCAAAATACCCGGTATTATTGCCAATTTGGCTGAATTTGGCCGCAAACCAGCCTCTAGACTCGGCTCAGATCCCGAAAAATTGATGATTCCATTGAGTTTCGTAATTTACCATACCACTCTCTGCTCATACCATACCACTCCCCAGGAGAATCAAATATGTGGTAAATACCACTCTTTTACCAGTAAATGGCCATCACTGGCCGCTGGCGCCGCCGCCGCCGCGCCGGGCGCCCCCGCGGGCCGCCGCGCCGCGCCACACGCCTGAGAGCGACGGCTCCGCACTGCGCTCTGCAGGGCTGCATCTATGGGATCGTGTGGCTTCGAGAAATCTAAAGCTCCTCTGTAGTAAACTCTCTGCAGGGCTGCGCTGATCACTCAAAACCGAGAGCCGCGCTGCGTGCGATCGCGAGAGGCGCACACATGTGACAAAACGCGGTCGCGCCCCTCTCGGCCCTTCGTGACCACCACTTCCCGCCCCCCGGCCACCACCCAAGGAGAGACACCCATAGAGCGGGATGAGGGGGCGGGCGAGGGGGGGAGTACACATGGCGCAGGGCCTGCAGGGGAAAACGTGAGACGAGGCGCGAGGGCCACCGGTCGGCGATGCAATCGCCTCCCGCTCGGCAACGCCCTGCCGCTCCCCGACCCGCGCCCCGCAAACCCACTGCGCGGCCCCAGCAACCCCGCCCCCACCCCCCCCCTAAACGCTACCGAGACACCCTAGGTCCCGCCGCCGCCCCCCGGGGCTGCTCCGTGCCGGTGGCTCAGATGCCGCTCTCCTTGAGAAAGTCGCCCAGCTTCGCGACAGTCGCCGAGCACTGGCCGGGCTGGATCTTGTCGTTGTGGTAACCGACGATGATGCAGGTGTTGCACCTGTAAAAGACGACGCCCTCCGCACCCTTCTTGACGTAGATATCGGCGTTCTCCTCCCCGCGCACGAACATGTACTTGACGCCTGCGACCGTCGCGCCCGTCGCAGCGAGCCCGGATGGGGCGGCGAAGTGCCCAGAGACGGCGGCAACCTCGGCAACCTGGGCCTGCACGAGAGCAGCGGCACGATGGCGCGGGGATCGGGAGGTGGCGAGTGGAGAGAGTACCGCACGCGGGACTCCAGCCAAAGCGGCGGCGTTGGAACCGCACTTCCGAGGGAGAGGGGGGGCGGGGGCGGGGGCGGGCGGGCGACGTGGAGAGGGAAGTGGGTGGGTGGGGGGAGGGGGGGGCGTACCGCGAAGCCCGCCGAGTAGGCCCAGGGGTTGCCTTGGAGGTCGTAGATCCCGGCGGCGGTGACCGTGCCGGTCCCGACGAGGTTGGTGTCGACGTACGTCTGCCAGCTCATTGCTCACGGAACTGCGGACGGGCGGGCAAGAGGAGAGAGCGTGAGGGGTGGCAGGCAGAGTGGCGTGGGAAAGGCCGGCGGGCAAGCAAGACGCGGCTCGGCGGCGCCTTGCGCTGCGAGGAGGCCTATCGCCGACGCGAATTTGTTTTTCTTTTCTTCGAAACGCCTCATCTCTTTTCGTTGCGCCGGGCCGCGCGAGTCCTGTTTGATTTGTCTCTTTCGGCACCCTTCCGCCACACCTCTGTGGCACCCCCCCCTCTCTTGGCGCTTTCTTAAGCGCCTGAGCTCCTCCCGAGGCTGAGCTCATCCCTGCATCTCTCAGAATGTCCCTTGAAACGTGAGAGAAGAAAGAAAGAAAGAAAACACACAACCCAAGGGAGGGATGTGCGAGAAAAAGAAAGAAAGAAAGATAGCAGACAACCCAAGGGAGGGATGGGAGAACGGCACGCCGCCACCACACAGGGATTTTAAGTGCGAGAGTGCCTTGTGTTCTAAGTACTCGCTTTCTCTCTTTCGCGGGAAGAGCGACGCTGGTGCTTGCTTGCAATGCCCCTCGTGACTCCATCGCTCGCCGTATCAAACTGCACCCTTCCACACTCCCCGCTGCCGGTGCGCGACGGGTCGCTCTGCTCGGTGCCCGCGTGCGCCGCGTGCGGCCGGCTGCTTCCGTCGCTGCTGCTCATCGGCTCAATCAAGACGGGCTCGACGCTGCTGTGGGGCCGGCTGGTCGACTATAGCGAGGGCGCCATAGACACGGGCAGGACCACCGACAAGGGTTACATCTCCAAGAAGGAGAAGGACTTCTTCGGCGACCCTGCGCAGTGGCGCCGTGGCCGCGGCTGGTATGAGCGGGCGTGGCCAAAGTGCCCGGCTAGCGGCGCGCGCACCGTCGTCGGCATCGATGCGACCCCGGCGTACCATGTGTGGTACGATGCGCCGAAGAACATGGCCGCCTTCTACGGCCGGGCGCTCGGCCAGCTCCGGCTCGTGTGGATGCTCCGCGACCCGGTGCGACCGCCGCACCGTCGCCCGCCGAGCTCGGCACCGCCGCCCGCCGAGCGCCGCCGCGCCGCCGCCCGGCCTCGCCGCAGGTGGCCAAGTACTGGTCCTATTTCTGGGAGCTCAAGTCGTACGGCGGCGACTGGGACAGGGTCACCTTTGACGCCTTCACCGCGCCCAAGCTGAACCGGTCGCGCGAGTGCGCCGCTTGCTTGAGTAGTTGAAACTAGCGACCGCGTGCTAGTTGTGCCAGTTGAGCTGAACAGGGCGCGCAGTGCGCATTGCTTGGCGCACCACGCCTCCCAGACATCTCCCAAGACACCTCCCAGACACTTCCCAGCCGCCTCCTGCACACTCCCCAGACTTGTCCCAGACACGTCCCGCATGCTAGCCAGACGCCTCCAGGACACTCCCCAGACACGTCCCAGACACTGTCCCGCACGCTAGCCAGACGCCTCCAGGACAGGACGCGAGAGGGACACTCTGTCGGCAGAGCGGCGCCTCTAACCCGCGCCCGCCCCTCCGGCGCCTCGCCCCTGCGCAGGTGCCTCCGGCGAGACCCAACCTCGCCGCTCTGGCCGCCCTCCCTCCCGCCGCCGTTTGGCAGCTGCGCGCCGCACCTCGACCACGGCCTCTACCACCCGCAGCTGCAGCGCTGGCTGGAGTACTTCCAGCCGGCGCAGCTCCTCCTCGTCTCCTTCGCCGGAATGGCGCACAGCTGCCTCCCCGACCCCCCTGACACCTTTCTCGCCACGTCTCCCCCTCCCCCCCCCCTCCGCAGGTGCAGCGGCCCGCCGCGGTGGTGCGAGACGTGGTGCTGCACGCAGGGCTGCGGCGGGCGCAGGCCGAGCGCATCGCAGCCTCCGCCGTCTCCCGCCGCGTCGCAAAGGAAAAGCAGAACTCAAAGGCGTCCGGCCACGGCCGCATGCCGCCTGCGTGGCGGCGCGAGGTGGCCGCGCTGTACGCGCCCTTTCTCGACCGGTTCTACAGCCTGGTCGGCGAGGCGGGCGTGCCCGTCTCGCCGTGCGAGGAGCGAGGCACGCGCTTCCTCGACCCGCCGCCGCAAGGCGAGGGCGAGGGCGAGGGCGAGGGCGAGGGCGCGGCGCCCGGCGCCGCGCCGGCCGCGGCGGCGGCAGTGCCCGCGCAGCAGGGCCGGCGGAGGGAGCGGAGCAGGGGCGCACACCCGCGGCGTTTCGCCGGCCGGGGGGCAGCCTCGCGCGCGTGGAGGGGCGCGTCGTGAAGAAAGAGAAAATAGAAGGAAGGGAGGCTTTGAAGCTTTGAAGTGCTGCCGGCCTTTTGGAGCACTCTAAATAAATAAACAAAGTGCAGTAGAAAATCCAAAATCCAAATCGCAAACATAGAAACCCAAACACACACAGCCACGTGGCATAGGAGAGCAGGAGGTGAAAGGAGGCCAGCACAAGTTGCAAGGACGCACGAGCGAGAAAAGCACAGCAGAGCAGACAGATGGCAGCTTCGCGAGCTACGGGGGCGGCCACGGCACGGCCCGGTGGCCGCCCCCGCAATGAGGCCAAGCGGTGGGCATCCGGCAAAAGCCGCAAGACGGGATTCGCGAAGGCGCGGGCCACCTTCCGCGGCGGAGGCCGCGGAAGCGCGGCGGCTGCGGAGAGGCACGACAGCATGATGACAAAAGCACGCTGGCGGGGCACCGAGGCCATCGCAAGGGAGACCCCAGAATAAAATAAATAAAAATATCAAATAAATAAAGAAGAAGAAGGTCCCGTAACCCGATACCGATCATCCGGCCCGCTGAGTGCGCTTCTCAGCTCCCCGGCCCTGGATGTGAGCGTTAATGACTGCGCTCCAAGTGCTCCAAGTCCCCCAAATAAGAAAGAAAGAAAGAAAACAGACACACGGGGGGAAGGGTGGATGGCACTTAGCGGACACCTCTCTACTGTGAGATGGGTAAAAAGGAACAGGTCCCCGCCCGTGCGATCTTTGTGCAGGCGTTGAGCAAAAATGTGTAAAAAATACCGGAAAATAAATAAAACGGTAATAAATAGAGCAGTCAAGACTCCAGGAGAGATGGGCGACGCACGAACACAGAGCTCAGAGGCACAGTGCGCACCCCGCCCCGCTCACAGGGCGTGCATCACACAGGCGTGGACTGTGTGACTCCTCGGGTTTCTGGGACTCGACAGAGGTGTGGGCTAGTCGCTACAGTCGGACGGCTCCGGCACGTCTAAAAGAGAGAAAGAAAACAGACAACCCAAACGAGGGATGGGGGAGGAGGACAGGGCTTCATGCTTCGCCTTCGATCGTGTCGTCACCATGTCGTTGACTCGCTGACCCGTGACAGCTTTGACTGCGACCGTGACCGGGTCGGGTCGAGCGTCAGATGCCCCCAAAGCGTGCAAAGGGAAAGAAGCCCGCTGCCGCCGCGGCGGCGCCGGGCCCAGCGGCGGCACTACTCGCAGCAGCAGCTTCCACAAGGCTGCAGTGGGCGCCGGCCCCAGGTGCAGCTGGCCCAAGCACGTTGCCGCCGCCGGTCGTGCAAGCGGAGTATGGAACCGCCGATGATGACCTCGAGCGGGTCGGAGCTCGGTGTCGAGCTCCTCCCGCCGCACCGGCGCGGCGGCAGAGCCGCCCCAGCCGCTGCGCCTTCGCCTGCGGAGGCTCCTGCGGCGGCTGCACCTGCTGCTGCGGGTGAGCCCGACGACGACGAGCAGCCTGACGGCGCGCGCATTCCAGACCTCGATGATTGGGCTGGGGGGGTGGCAAGGGTGTAGGAGGGCTCTCAGGAGACCGTTTGCCGGCAGCAGGGGGCGCGCGCTCGGCCGACATGTGCGCCAGAATGCCGCAGAAGTAACTATGAAGTAACTGTGTTTGGGCTGTCTCCCGGGCGTGTTTGAACCCTAATTGTCGGCCCCAGTGACCGGTCTAGAGGTCTGTGTGTGGCCTGGGGGGGCCAAACAATAAGGCGAGGGGTTCCTAGTAAGCGGTTGGGGGGTGCGAGCCCGTGCTATAGTGCAGTGAATACTTACTTCCTGAAGTAACTTCATCCTTCAGATAGACAGCCTGCAACACCCCCCCCCCCCCTCCCTCCCCCCCTCCCTCCCCCCACACCCCCCTCCCTCCCACCCACTCTTTCCTACGCGAAGAGAGCGCGTTTTGCCGCCCCGGGGCCCAAAAACCAAATGTGTGAGTCTCGTGTGAGTCTGGGGGCGAGACCGGATATGAATACTATTTTTTCATTTTGGGGATCTCCGCCGCCCTCGAAGGCGCCACCAGCATTACGGCCGCCTTCATATCTCATTGATGCTGCCACCAACGCCACCTCCTCGATTCTGTGCCGCTGCCGCGGCGAGGCGCCGTCGCCACGATCGCCGCCAGCGCTGCTGACAGCCTCGGAGCGTCGCCGTGGCCGCGTTCTGGTCTGCCCACGCTTCCCCTAAAACGTCTAGGACGAGCTCAGAGGCTAAGGGCGCGTCCTGTGGGACCATCTAGCTCTACTGGGTCCGCGACGGCGGTCGGCGCACCCCCGTCTCGAACGTGTGTGCTCTCTGTCTGTCTGTCAGCTGTTTCGGCTAAGTCGTTTTGTACCGGATTTCAATGTTAGTGGCAAAACCGCGGAACCAAAAATGGCGTTTAATTTCGGGCCCCTGCTGTCCGCCGCCTGCGGCGGCGCTCCGCGCCGCTTGGGGCGCCTGCGGCGCCCCTGGGCGCGCTGCGCGCGCCTGTTTTGGGGGGGCTACCAGCACCGAAAATGCCATTTTTTCTGTGCCACACGCGCTCGCTGCTCGCTCGCTGCTCCCTGCGAATGTCAACCGGCGAGGCAAGCCGCGACGACGATGCGACGAGCAGCAGCGAGATTACATTGTGCGCCACACCGCGCCACTGCCACGCCACCGGCATCCCGCAGCCTGCACTCACGCGCCGCCGGCCTGTGTCAGTGATCCGCCGCTCGGCAAGTTCCCGCCTTGGTCGTTCCAGCATCCGGTGCTCGTCGGCGCATCGGCGCGGTGGAGAGCTGGCGGCGGCAGCGCCGGCCTCATTGCGCTGCTCAAGTGCGAGCCAATCTCCCCTCGCCCGCCGCCCGCCGCCCGCCGCCTCGCTCACAGCCGTCACGTCGCCCCAGGGACGGCGAAAACATCAAGGCCTTTCGGACGCTCGTGCGCTTCACGGGCTTGATGGTGGCGGTCCCACTCGGCGTGATGGGCGGCTGCTACGCGCTGCTGCCGAGCGCCGGCGTCCACCGCCACACAGACCGCGTGCTGTACGCGGGCATAGCCGCAATCGTGGCGGTGCAGGCGGTGGTGGTTGCGTATTTGGTGCTCGCGTTCGCCGAGACCCCGCCCGCACAGAAGAAGAACCAGTGAGCTGCGCAGTACGCCGCCCCACAGTCGGACCTCCATGCGTGTGGTGTGCGCGCGTGGATGGACCGTGGAGACCTCGCGAGGTGCAGACTGGCGGACCGCGACTCTGAAGTATACGTGAATCCACGTATGACGTCACTGGCTGTGCACACATTACGTCAGTACAGTACGATCAGCGAAGCTTCTCTATCACCTCTCACGCGCTCGTGTTTTGTGTGTCCACACCCCAGCCTCGAGACCCCAGCAGCCCGGTGCCCCCCCCCCCCCCGCCCTCCGGCCCCAACCGCAACCCGCAACCGCCCAGGGCCAGGCCAGCGCGCAGCCAGCCAGGGCCACGCCGACGACGAGCTCGGCGCAGCACGCCGCGTTGTGAGCATATGAGCACCCCCCGCCCCACCCCCTCGCAAGAGCCAGCCAACCAAGACGCAAGAGCCTTTTAACCCTTACGGGTTACGGCTTTATCCCCAATCCCGCCGGGGAAAGAGCGCGCCGCCTCTCGGCGCGCTCTCTCTCGACTCTCCGCTTCTGTCTAATGGAGCACTTGGTTCTCTCTCGACTCTCCGCTTCTGTCTAATGGAGCACTTGGTTGGAGATGTTGTGTGTGTGTGGAGGGTCCCTAGATGCTGGGGGCGGGGGGAAGGGGGCTTTTGAGCAGCCCCTGCGCCGCCCAACGCGGCGGCGGTGGGCGTCATATGGCGCGTGTTGGGACCAGACATTGTCCGAATTGCGGCGGACGTACGAGGTCTCAGAGTTTGTTGTTATATAGTAGTGTGGCAGTTTGGTCGGAGGGCGCCCGGGTCGCCCCGGAGCGGCCCCGCGCGGGGAGGTGGGTGGAGGGCGGGTACCACGCCATCGGGCAGGCCACGCGGGGACGCAGCCGGGGCCAGCGCGCGGCGCTAGAGGGCCCGGCGCAAACTTGTTGCACCTGCACCTGCACCTGCACCTGGGTGCAGCGAGTTTTGGTGGTTCGAAAAAGAGATTTCACGTTAGAGCGCCTCTACATCGCGCTACAACGGAGGCGCTTCGTCCCGCGGCGGGGATGTAGAGCTCTACAGCGCTACAGCGCTCTACATCTCTACAGCTCTACAGCGCTCTACACCTCTACATCCTCTACACCCTCCCTCAGATTGGGGACAGGGCAGGCACGGCCACGCACGCCCACGGACGGGAGGCGGGAGGTTGTTCACGCATCACGGCTTCACTTGGCGGCATCGTCTGCCCACTCAATTCTGTGGTGTACCTGTGCTAGTGCCAGTGCGCGCCAGTCCGCTGCCTGGCACTTGGAGCACTTGCAGTGCAGTTCACACTTGGAGCACTTGCAGTGCAGTTCACACTTGGAGCACAAAGCAGAAAAGAAAGAAAGAAAGAAAACACACAACCCAAGGGAGGGATGGGAGAACGGTGCAGGGATTTGGCGCACTTGGATCACTCCATTTTTTTCCGTGCTCACTCTGGGCACGCGGACCTCCATGGCGACCGCCGGCTCCTCTAGTGACGGCCGGCTCGACGTGGCGCAACTCCTGGCGCAGCGTGCGGCGAGCAGCGGGCGGCCGTCCATCGAGGTGGAAAAGGAGGACGACCTCGAGTACGACCTGGCGCACCTTGCCGCCTTCGACCCTGCGCCGCTCTCTGCAGAGGCGCTCTCGGCGGACGCCGAGGCGCACCTGCTCGAAACGGCGCGCGACAACGCGCAGCTGATGGCGAACCGGCTGTACGCGATCCTCGCGTCGCAGGAGAGCAAGGCGGTCATCCGCCTTCCCCCGCCCACGACGCAGCTGCCGCGTGAGAAGCCGCTGCCAAAGCCGCGGCCGCAGACGCGCTGGGAGAAGTTCGCGGCGGAGAAGGGCATCGTCAAGAAGAAGCGGTCCAAGATGGTGTGGGACGAGGCCGCCGGCCAGTGGGCCCCGCGGTACGGCTTTGGCCGCGCCAACAAGCAGGACGACCCGCTCAAGACGTGGCTCGTCCCTGCGAAGCCGGGCGAGGACGGCTCGACCGACCCGTTCGAGGCCGCGGCCGGGAAGCGGGGCGAGGCGCGCGCGAAGCAGAAGCGGCAGGAGGAGCGCAACCGTCTCGAGGCGGCCCACGCCGCCGGCCTCACCTCGCGCGGGAAGGGCGCCGCGGCGGGCGCCGGAGGCTCGCTCGGCTCGTCGGTGATCGCTCGCGACCTCGGCGCGGCGTCGGAGAAGAAAGAGTACCTGTCGCGCGCGATCCGGACGACGCAGGTCTCGACCGCGTCGGCGGGGCGATTCGACCGGCAGCTGGAGCACGAGCCTTCCAAGGAGCGGGGCAAGCGGAAGCAGTATGCCTCGGCCACGTCGCGCGCCGACACGGCAGCAGACGCGGCGCGGACGGCCGCGGTGGCGGGCAAGCTCTTCCCCGAGGACGCGGCGCGGACGACGGTGCGCGCCAAGGCGATCGACTCTGGCAAGGCGGCCAAGATCGCGCGGCTCGAGGCGGAGGGGAACAACCGCAAGGCGAAGGTGTCGGGCAGCGGCGGCTCGAAGCTCGCCAAAAAGGCGAAACCGGCGCCCGGAGGGGGAGGCATCGGCAAGGGCAAGGCCACCGCAAAGGTCAAGAGCAAGGCGGCGGCCAAGGCCAGCAAAGGAGGCAAGAGGAAGTGACGCGTTTGCGGGTGAGAGCACAGTCTCGGCGGGGGGGAGTCCACAGCGGGGTCGGATCTCGCGGGCGAAAAGCAAAAGGATTGTGTTTGAGGATATTCATATTGGTTGTTTGCCCCGCCCAGCGTCTCGCTCTCGGGTCTCGCCAGAGGCCAGCCGCAGGGAGTTGACGTGTGCAAAACATGTGTGAGTGGGGTCTGGAATTAAATTATCGCGGGAAAATGTATGTACGAAAGGATGGAGCTGACAGTAAAGCTCAGGAGATCCGACGTACACTACTCGCTACATTCTCTCGCGTCTCGGCAGGGCCAGTGGGGTGGGGAGAGGCCAGTCATCAGAGCCGAGACCCACGGGAGACGGGTCCACGGCGAACATCTCCCTGTACTCGGCGCGTGTCGCCCGCAGCGTGCGCGGGGGTAGAGGGGGGCGAGGCCGGCGGGGGAAGGCAGACCCGAGTACCGCCGATCATCACACACGAGCGGGCGGGCGTCGCCCTCCCCCCCTCCTGCCGTGAACAGAGGGAGGGGAGAGCTAGGGGAGGGGGGCGCCCCGGAGCGACCGCCTCTGAAGGGTGCCGCTCAGCAGGCGGCCGGGCGGGCGGCGCCCTGGAAGGGCGTACTCTCGATGCCCGCGGCGCGAGCGACGAGGAGGGGCTCGGTCAGCGAGACGGACTTGATCGTCGACGCGGAGGGCTTGGCAGCGCGCTGGCCGGCGGCGAGCGCGCCCATGCCGAGCAGCGCGCCGCCGACAAAGACGGCGAAGATGGTGGTGGGGCCGGCGACCGCCGAGCCGACGACGGCGGGCGCGGCGGCGGGCATCGCGACGGTGTTCATGAGGAGGAGCTCGGCGGCGGTGGCAACCTTGGGCGCGGCGGCGACGTAGGGGCCGATGAGGCCGCCGCCCTGGTTGACTGCCATGAAGAGCTCGGCGAAGACGACCGAGATGATGGCCATCAGCTTCATCAGGATGTTGAGCGCCGGGCCGGACGTGTCCTTGAGCGGGTCGCCGACCGTGTCGCCCGTGACGGCCGCCTTGAAGATCTGCGACTTTTTGGTCTGGACCTTGCCGGTGCCGTCGACCGTCTCGGGCTCGAGCTGGCCGATGAGCTCGTCCATCGCGCCCTTGGAGATGTACTTCTTAGCGTTGTCCCACGCGCCGCCCGTGTTGGACGACGAGATCGCCATCTGGATGCCGGAGGCGATGCCGCCCGCGAGCAGGCCGGTGACGCAGCGCGTGCCGAAGCAGACGCCGCAGAGGACGGGCGAGAGCATGACGAGGGCGCCCGGCGCGATCATCTCCTGCAGCGACGCGTCGGTCGAGATCTTGATGCACGTGTCGTAGTCGGGCCGGTCGGGGTGGTTGGGGATGAGCAGGTTCGGGTTGGCGTCGAACTGGCGCTTGATCTCGATGACCATCGCGTTGGCGGCCATGCCGACCGACTTCATGGTCATGGCCGAGAACCAGTAGGGCAGCATCGCGCCGACGAGCAGGCCGGCGAAGGTGATCGGGTCGAGCAGGTCGACGGTCGTGATGCCGCCCTCGGCCGAGAGGCGCGTCACAAAGGCGCCGAAGAGGGCGAGGCCGACGAGGCAGGCGGAGCCGATGGCGAAGCCCTTGCCGATGGCGGCGGTGGTGTTGCCCGCGGCGTCGAGCGCGTCCGTCTTCTCGCGGACGGACGGGTGCAGCTCGCACATCTCGGCGATGCCGCCCGCGTTGTCGCAGACCGGGCCGTACACGTCGATCGACAGGCAGGTGGCGAGGGTGGCAAGCATGCCGAGCGCGGCGAGCGAGATGCCGTAGAAGCCGGCGAGGGAGTGGGCGCCGAAGACGATGAAGGCGACGACGAAGACGGGGACGATGGCGGACTTGTAGCCGAGCGCGAGCCCGTAGATCACGTTGGTGGCGGCGCCGGTGCGGCAGGCGTTGGCGACCTCCTGCACTGGCGTGTACGAGAAGGACGTGTAGTACTCGGTGACGAAGCCGATGACGCAGCCGCCCCACAGGCCGAAGCCGACGCAGAAGAAGGCCTTGAGCGGCGAGGAGCAGACGCCTCCGACGACGAAGCCGCCGACGCACATGCCGCACGTCGCGGCGGGGAGCAGCGTCACGGCGAGCGCGTAGACGCACGGCGTCATCAGCAGCGTCGAGACGAGCAGCTGCATCTTGAGGGCCGACTCGATGCCCTTCTCGTCGCGGACGGGCATCAGGTCGGTGGCGACGAAGGAGGTGGCCATGCAGACGAGGATGCCCACGCCCGAGAGCGCGAGCGGGAACATGAGCGCGCCCCAGCCGGCGGCGACGATCATCGGCGACGAGGCGCCGACGAGGAGGGCGGCGCAGCTCGCCTCGCCAAACGAGCCGAAGAGGTCGGAGCCCATGCCCGCCACGTCGCCGACGTTGTCGCCCACGTTGTCGGCGATGGTGCCCGGGTTGTGCGGGTCGTCCTCGGGCAGGTTCTCAACCACCTTGCCCGCCAGGTCGGCGCCCACGTCCGCCGCCTTTGTGTAGATGCCTCCGCCGACGCGGCCGAACATGGCGATGGACGAGCCGCCGAGGCCGAAGCCGGCGATGCACTCGAAGAGGTGCATGAGGTCGGTCTGCTCTGAGCCGAAGAGGGGGCGCAGCCCGAGGATGAGCGCGTAGAGCGAGAGCAGCGCCACGCCAGTGAGCGAGAAGCCCATCACGCCACCGGCGCGGAAGGCGGTGTTGAACGAGTGCGTCCAGCCGTGCGGAGCGGGCGCGCAGGCGCCGACGGTGCAGCGCGCGTTGGAGAAGACGGCGACGCGCATGCCGATGAAGCCGGAGACCATCGAGGTGACCGCGCCCACGAAGAAGGAGAGCGCGGAGATGAGGCCCGACGTCCACGCCCACTCGCCGGTCGCCGGGTCCTTGGTCGCCCACGAGATGAGGAGGGTGATGCCGACCGAGACGACGGCGACGAAGAGGGCGCAGAGCTTGTACTCGGCGTTGAGGAAGGCGGAGGCGCCAACCGTGATGGCGCGGTACAGCTCGACCAGCTTGGTGTTCTGCTCCGCCGAGTCGGCTGTGCGCGTGGCGCCCGGGGCGGAAGTCACGTCGAGGAGGACGGACGCGACCTGGCGCAGGAGGAAGATCGAGAAGACGATGCCTGGGGGGAGGCGCGGCACGCGTGACGGACGCCCATCGAAGCAAGGGAGGGCACACGCGGCGGCAAGGGAGTCACGCTGCGGTGGCGACGCCGCCGCCGAGCCGTGAGGGCTGGGAGAGCGCGGCTGGGAGAGCGCGGACCGATGATGCCGGTGGCCACGATGATGGGCGTGGTGAGGGCGCCGCTCGCCAGCGGCTCAATGCCGCCGTTGACGCACTGCGCCATGTCGAGAGAATCCATGGATCGAGGTGCCACGGAGTGTCCAGTGTCCACTGAGTCCGGCGGTCGATCCGAGCTCACGCGAGGTCAGACGCTCTCTTCATCAACGAACGTTACGAGTACGTGACCACACGCAACCAAGCGTAGTCGCGCCAACGCCGTGGTAGAGCTCTGCGCAAGTTGCGGATACACCCTGGTCCCCCACGGCGTTGGCGCGGCAGTTCACGCCCTGCACAAGCATGGTAAACTCCCAGTTCCGCAGGAGCTCCTCTGTCTCTCTGTCTTCGCGGTGCCAAACCCCTATCTGATGTTGGGGAGAACGGCGCTACTCGAGTAGGGGAACTCGAGTATCGCTACTCGAGTAGCTAGCCGTTTCGCGTTGGGCTGGCCGCCACACAGGTTTTGCTCGCCGCCTTTGTTTGGCTGCCCATTGCCAGCAAGCAGGGTTTGATTTCCCCGTTCGCAGTTCAGACGAACTATTCGAACTTTCCGTGGTATTGCTCGCCCTGCGGGTGTGAAGCGGGTGGGTGGGGGGGGGGGGAGAAAAGAACAGGCTCGAGTTCACGAACTACTCGAGTAGTTCGGAGGGTTCGGGCACCCAAGGGCGAACGACCGAACCATGCAGCGAACCAAGGGGATGCCGTCTAGAGCGAACTCCGAAACCGAACGTCGAACGAACCGCGAGTTCACCGAACCAGTTCATCAACCAGAGCGCCAGTTCGCCCGCGAAGATCAAGAAGAGATTTTTAGCAATTCCTAAGATCAAAGGCTGGCGCGAGAGGCTGGCTGGCGGCGTCCTGGGAGGGTGATGCGCATCTTACTTTCTTCTTTCTTGGAACGCTAGGTTGGTGGGGTCCCGTACCACGCGGCATCGACCCTATCCAGTGCTCAAGTGCTCAAGGTTGTAGGCGGGGAAATCCGATCTCGATTGTAATAAAAAACTCGCGGCGTCCACTTCACTTCGCCGAGTCGGCGGAGGGCGGCGCCGCAGGGGTGCCCGAATCGCTGCTGCATCCCGTTGCCTCCCGCGCGATATGCTGCGCCACGCCGCCAAGCCGTCCACCCGCCGGATCGCGGTCGGGGCGCGGGCGCTCTCCTCTAACTCGCTCCTCAAGCAGAGGCTGATCGAGCTCATGCCGGAGAAGCAGGCGGCGCTGAAGAAACTCAAGACGGAACATGGCGCCAAGGCAGCCGGCCCCGCCCCATCCGAAACGCACCGCAGCCGTGCCCCTTCGCGCCCTCCCGCGTCGCTCTGAGGCCTCTCTCGCCGGCCCAGATTGTCGACAAGGTGACGATTGACCAGCTGATCGGCGGGGCACGCTCAATCAAGTGCATGCTGTGGGAGACGTCGCAGCTCGACGCGATGGAGGGCATCCGCTTCCGCGGGTTGACCATCCCCGAGCTGCAGGAGAAGCTCCCGACCCACTCCGGCGTCGGCAGCGTCACCAAAGAGGCACGCACGCGGCGGCGCTGCACTCGCCTCTGCCGTGCGGCTGACGGGGCGCCGCTTGAGGCCGTAGGAGCCGATACCTGAGGGCATGCTGTGGCTCCTGCTGACGGGCGAGGTGCCCACCAAGGAGCAGGCCGACTCGGTGACGGCGGAGCTGCACTCGCGCGCGAAGCTTCCGGCTCACGTGGAGAGTATGATTCGCTCCTTCCCGGAGGGGATGCACCCGATGACGCAGCTCTCGTCTGCCATCCTCGCGCTGCAGACGGAGTCGGTCTTCGCGCAGAAGTACGCGGAAGGGACCAACAAGACCCTCTACTGGGCGCCGCGCTCTCCGCGGCGTCTCCGCCCTCCGCCCGCCCTCCCCTCCCACCCGTCGCCTCGCCCCGCCCCGCCCGCTGTTGGCGCAGGACCACGTGTACGAGGACATGATGAACCTCCTCGCGAGGATGCCGGAGATCTGCGCACTCATCTTCCGCTGCACCTACTACCCAGAGGGGGGGCGGGCGGGGGCCAAGGTGCGCACCCCCACCCTCTCCGCAGCCTCCACTCTCTCCACCGCCCCTCCCCTCTCTCCTCCCCTCTCTCCTCCCCTCTCTCCTCCCCTCTCTCCTCCCCTCTCTCCTCCCCTCTCTCCTCCCCTCTCTCCTCCCCTCTCTCCTCCCCTCTCTCCTCCCCTCTCTCCTCCCCTCTCTCCTCCCCTCTCTCCTCCCCTCTCTCCTCCCCTCTCTCCTCCCCTCTCTCCTCCCCTCTCTCCTCCCCTCTCTCCTCCCCTCTCTCCTCCCCTCTCTCCTCCCCTCTCTCCTCCCCTCTCTCCTCCCCTCTCTCCTCCCCTCTCTCCTCCCCTCTCTCCTCCCCTCTCTCCTCCCCTCTCTCCTCCCCTCTCTCCTCCCCTCTCTCCTCCCCTCTCTCCTCCCCCCTTCCCCTGCTCAACTGCCTCCTCCACACTGTGTGCCACTCGCCGCCGCACTGCTGCCCCTCACTGCCACACCGAGACACATAGCCGGCCCTGCTCGCCCCGCCCACCCGCCGGACTCCGCCCCACCGCCCGCCAGATGAACCAGTACGACGCCAGCCTCGACTACGCCGCCAACTTTTGCAACATGCTCGGCGAAAAGTTTGCGGGCGACAAGGGCTTCCACGAGCTGATGCGGCTCTACATCACCATCCACACGGACCACGAGGGCGGAAACGCGTCGGCGCACACCCTCCGCCCACCCTCTCCCTCACCTCCCCTTCTGCCACCACTCACACCCCCGCCAAGCCTCCCCGCTGCGCTGCCTGCCCTGTCCTCTCCACACCGAGGCCGCACTGGAGCGTGACTCGGCTTGACCGCTCATCGCACACCTCCCGGACCACGCTCCCTAACCTAACCCCAACCCTACCCCTACCCCTACCCCTCACCCTAACCCTAACCCAAATCCAAACCTCCCGGACCACACGCTCCCTCCCGCCAGGCGCCCACCTGCCACCTTGTCGGATCGACCCTCCCCGACCCCTACCTCTCCCTCT